GTAAATATGCCGAAAACGAAAGATACTGATAGGCAAATTTTGATAAACTGATTGAATTATTTGAACTTTAGCATGCATATTGTATGATGATGCATGACATTATATCGACAAAATAATGAATAACCGCTCATTAAAAATTACTTGGAAAAATTCTCTTCATCTTTGTATAGAATATTTTCTAGGGTCAATAGGTCAATAGCAATGACCTCGACCTTTTCAACCCGCCCGCTATTTTTCACTTATAAACAATTAAATCATGATTTAAAAATTGTTTTTTTCTCAACCAAAGTTTATCACAATATAGATTAATGATAATAATAATAATAATTCTTTAATCAGTTTTTGAATTCGTGATTCTTCGATTACAAACAACATCATCAATCTTTATTACGAATTCAAATTCTAACAAATTTGTTACGAATAATCAACGATTTAAATTCGATGATATTATTAATAGAACGAGAATAATCGAACAAACGAACTGAAATAAGACTGTGGCCTGTTAAGTTAGTTCCACAGTTCCACTCGCACATAGCTTCACTTGCTATTCACAATATATCCATCTAAACCTCTAAAGGTTAAAGATTTAACCCCGCTTAAAATGTTATTAATTATTAATTTTTAAAAGGCTAAAGAAGAGCGCCTGCAGCTTATATACTAAGGCGTATTTATATTATTTATTATATTATATTATATATTATATTTAATACAAAATATAAAAGTGGAATAAAAGTGAATTAATGTGGATGAATGGATGAATTGTTACGTCAAACAAGCAGGTGGGAATGATAATAAAAAGAAGAAATTGGCATACAACCAATGCATACAAAAATTCATTTCATTTCATTTTTCGTATTAGTTAAAAAATAAAATGAAATTTTTGATTGCTTTCCATTTGTTACGCTTTTCCGAATTTTTCAAAATTGTCAAATATTAGACAATTAAAAATCAAAAATCCATAATTTATTTCGCTTTCATTTCGCTTATCGGAATGATTTTATTCGTACTTTTACGATATTTTCGCTATATTTTAAAGCATCGACGAGAACTATGAGGAGTATTATCAGCCGAAGCAAATCTATAAATGTATCATTAAAAGATCCGATCGGTATTAGAAACCTATTTATTATATACGCCATGTGACTTCAACGTGAAACGCTTGGCATGATTTGCGAGTTCCATTTTGGACATTTTGAAAGCAATGCTACAACAATATACGTGTAAGTACCAGATTTATGCAAATACATTCAGTTTAAATCAACCTTTTTATGCTATGCAGTGAGATTTAGTGAGTTATATTCACTCACTATCAATACAATAAATATAGCAAACAGTTCACCCAAAATATGAAATGAGTTATATTTATTGAAAATACGAAAAAACTTCAGTTTGATATGGCGCTGATCATAAAGTATAAATATAAAACTTAAGAATAATAAAAAACAAATAAAATACAAAACTTTTTAATTTAATTTTAAGCTTTAATAATTAATAATTATTATAATTATAATTAATTATAATTAATTAATAAATAATAATTATAAAAAATTAATAATTAAATAATTAATTAATTAAATAATTAAAAATTAAATTTAATAATTAAATTTGAATATTTGAAAAGAAAAAAATTTTATAAAAAAAATTGATAAGCAGTAGTAAAGGATTTTGGGATCACAGATTTGCTTACTCTTAGAGAAGCCAATGAATTTTAAGGCTCGGAACCCGGCAATCTGAGTTAAAGCAGAAACCACTCGGTTATCCTGCACCTCTAGTATGTAAATATTTCACTAAGTAATCGACAAGGAGTAAACGAATATAATAAACGAATTTCAATGCGATAATATTGACTCGATTTATTATCGGCATCATTTGTTTGTATTTGTATTATTGAGTAAATAAAAATTTTCAGTCAATATTGCTTATATAGCATTATATTTCTTTCTTTTCTTCATTTATGATATGATAATTGATAATCTATTATGTGATATTAGTTTCTAACAATATTAATGATAATGACTGTATAACAATTAAAACCAAATTTGAGGTTTAAACTTTAAAAAAATTTATAGACCGAGTGAAAGTGTTGTAAGTATTTGATAGTAGTAAACTAGCAAACTGCAAAATACTTCTGCACGATCGAGATGCATAAGAATTTTTAAGGTTATTCGTTCATTTCAAATAAGGTACCAGATAAATGAGCTATTAGATATTATCGCTTTCTTCTAGTGATAGGCTTTGGTTGAATAGTTTCAGTGAGATATACGCCATGTGACTTCAACGTGAAACGCTTGGCATGGCATGATTGCCAAGTCTTCCTATCTAATACTTGAACAATTCTAGAAATTACCTGAAGCAATATTTTCATGTGCCAGCTAAATTCATAAATGAATTAGCAAAATTTTATTAAAATTTGTGGAATTGCAATTTGAGAAATATAAAGCAATTACTCGTTCCTCGATATGATGAACATTCAAAATTACATTCAAAATCTCTTCTAAACGTTCCAGGACCAGGCTATAAGGCTTTTGGCATTATCTCTACAAAGCTTAGTGCCTAGCGAGATATATAATTTCTCTGAAAAGCGATGAAGGGAATAATTCAACCAGAATAGATATATTGTATTGGTACTATTGGTAATATTGATGGTACTATTAAGGGTGCTATTGATGCATATGAATATGGTACTTGGACAAAAATGAATGCAATCGTATAGGATTCATTTACTCAGTGGATGTAATCGAATTTTGGATAATTTTATAGCAATAATACCCTAAAAAATAAAAAATAAAACGTTCATGAAGAAAGGTAATTATACTACAAATTTACGAATCTTCACGAATTTTAAATATTTGAATATTTCATTTAAAATACTAATATCTCCTCATTTTATAAGTAAATAAAACTTCCATTCAGCGGACGAAAAATTTTCATTATTTTGATATGCAAAGGTGAAGGAGAAGTGTGTCGCATTTCTTTGACATACTCGGTAGTAGACAAGAATTAGAAGTCAGCACTGGTAAAAGATACTGGAGTACTAAATGACAGGAACATAAGGAAGAAGGAATATGAGAAGCGAGGAGTCGAAATAGAAATTATGGAAAATTTATAAAGTGAAGGCCAAAGTAATCACAATACTGATAAAGGAACACAAGAGCCTGTGATTTTTTAATCTGGAAAGATGGCACCAATAGTCTCCAGGAATAACATAAATGCCTGTCTCTAGAAAAGCCTACTACCAGAAATAGCTAAGATATTGCGCAGAATCCTCGAACTCTCAGATCTCTCGTAGAAGTCGACGACAATCCATATCACTCACAAGGGCTGCGAAAAGGACTCTTTTCTTTATAATTTAGCTTAGAAGCATTATGAATTTGTTGTTTTCATGCACTAAAAAATTTATGAATTATTCAAATTAATGGATTTGATCTTTCTTTGTTATTTATTATATTTTTTATTACGATTATTATTTATTATTATAATATTTATATTAAATATTATATAAAATAATTTTAAAAATTGTAGGATTTTTTGAATAATTATGTAGAAAATTCTCGTCTAAATTACTTATATATTTTAAGCCTTTTTAGAGTTAAGTTATATGCCAAATAAAAGTTAAACCAAAAATCGCGTAATTCGCGATGCATTCGTTTAATAAACTCTACTAAGAAGAACGCTCAACATTTCTCTCTCTTCGCTAATTATACGCGTTTCGGTGGTTTATTGAACGGAGTATAAATTTTGAGAATTAATCGACGATAAAAGTAGAGATGAATCGCCAGTGAATCGTTATTCAAATTTTATATACCGCCCACCTGGCTATGGAAATAAATTCACTAGGGATCTTCACAAGCTGTTATTTAGATTAAAATTATTTGGTGCCGATTATGTAATTGTTGACAGATCCTTGCCTGTCGAGAGTATAATCTCAATATCACCGCTCCGAAATCTATTAAGTCCATTAGGCAATAATCTGTCATCTGTCTAAGTCATTCTATCCTTAAAAATTCCATAACACTGAAAATACCAATGAAATTTATATCTCTTTCGCGAATTCCATTGGATCTATTCAATATCTTTTTGAAATTGCTGTATTCCTTCTCAGAAGCGTTGTCTCACTTAATATTATAAACCCCGTTAAACCCCGTTATTATATTTTTTTAAGCTCCTTAAAGAAACTGCTATTTCCATAAGTTTTAGTCATCGACTTTTAGCCTTTTACAGTTTTGAAGCCTTTTTTCCCAGTTCATACGATACGTTTTTCCTTTTCTTCTCGTGTGATAGATTTTTTTTCATACCACTTTTATGAATTTTTCTAGGAAAAGAATAAGAAATCAAAAAACAAACCAACTGATTGAAAATCGAAAATTTGAAACCGCAATGAAACTCGGCCGTGGGCCGCCGGCCGTATTTTCTTTTTGAGTGGGAAGTCGAACTACAAGTTTTTATTTACTTTTATTTCATTTTCGTTTCTAAAATTATTTAAAATAAAATGATTGTTTTAAAAAAAGACTTCAGGAAAATTCATATTTTCGTTATTTTTCATTCTTCCTTAAGCACAAAAAAGTTTATTTAAAATTAATATTTTTATTTTTAAAACATTTTTTAATAAAATAAATATTTTTTATTAAAATAAAACATTTTCAAAATTTTAAATGTTCGTTTTTATTTATTTTATTATTTATCATTTAAATTATTGCAATTTTATTATTATTTAAAAAAAATTGCTTAATTGATATTTTTCAAATTAATTAAAATGTCTAAATATGCTTTAAAATCTTTCGAAAATTTCAATTTTTCAAATTTTAAAATTTTTAAATTTTTAAACAAATCGGCATTTAATTTATTATCATTTTTATTATTTTTTAATTATATTTTGTTTTATTTTTTATTATTTTTGTTTATTTTGTTATTTAGTTTGTTATTTTTTAAAATAATAAAACTAAAATTATAGTCTTGCACGTGAGTTAATTATATGCAATCAGCTATTTTCAATATTATCAATGTATAAACGTCAAAGCTATTATCACTATCGTTCGTATAATTATCCTCCAAAAAGTTATCCGCAAGTTAGTTTTCTATTTATTTATTTTTATTAAAAACAGAGAAAACTGCTTATTTTTGCTGGTTGCATTATATGTTGTATTTTTTTTTGGTGATTTTGGTGATTTTTTTTTTAGCGAGCAATCGAGTATTTGCAACTATCGATGAAGAAAGCTTGGGAAAGTTATCTGGAAGATGACTGCTTACTTCAACCAGATCAATTACAGCGTCTTAGTCAGCATAAATATAATTCATTAGATGCTTCATGGCTTGACGAATTATGTATGAAAAGGTTATTTATGATTAAAATTTTTTTTTTAATCTTAAATTAAACTTATTTTTAGTTAAAATTAAATGATCATTTAATTTGACCTAATAAATAAATATGTTTCTTTTTTTGCATTCCTATAAAATCGATATAATAATAATTAAAAATAATAAATAGTTATAAAATAACATCAATTATCTGGAAGCACCAATGAATCTTGCGTTACTAATTAATCTTACGAAATTCTATTGCAGATTTTGGAATTACTTGATTGAATTTTGTCCTTTATGGGTTCATCCTAATCTCTTATCAGTTATTGGTCTAATCATTAATTTAGTTACGGTTATAGTTCTTGCCATTTATTCGTCCAATGAACAGGTAAAATTTTTTTTTAGATTAAACGATATTTTAAATCATATAAACCAAAATTTTTAAATTTATTATTCATTTTGAAATTAATTTTAATTGTAGTATGATATATAGATAGTAAATTTCTATAAGCTGTAATTTTAAAAATTTTCTTTAAATAATGAATTTACTTGGTGGATTTTTGGAACGGTTTATTGTGGGGAAAAAAACTTATAGAAAAATTATTTTCAAATTTTAAATTTCATTTCATAATCTCTAATAATTTCAGGCTCCTTCTTGGACTTTTCTTCTTGCTGCTGTTGGTTTATTTCTATATCAAACATTAGATGCTTTAGATGGCAAACAAGCTAGACGTACAAAATGTGCGTCACCACTGGGTGAATTGTTTGACCATGGTTGTGATTCTATGACCCAGGGTATTGTAAATTTTTATTTATATTCGTTAATCCATTAATCTCTTTTCATTAAATATATCGTTATGTAATTTAGTTTTTGTAACATTAAATTTGTGCTATTCGATGCAATTGTGGCAAGATCGCTATTTAATCTTATTCGTTGTCGCGTTTGCTATTGTATTATTTTATTGCGCGCATTGGAGTACTTATTGTACTGGGCAACTTAGATTTTCAAGGTTTCAGTTTCAGTTTGTTATTTTATCTGATTTACGTTCGTAATTTAATTGCCAATTATTTTTACCAATGATTATCGATGTAAAATATGAGAGAAGATAAATCAATTTTTTAGGACAATTAAATAAATATTAACATAATATAGTCATTATGTTTAATAGATTTTTGGAATCGATTCATAAATATGAAATTAACTTAAAAATTTCTCGTTCTTAAATTAAAGGTTTGATGTGACTGAGGCACAAATGGCTATTATATGCTTATTAATCGCAACAGCCGTTTTCGGTCCTGATTTCTGGTCTCTTAAGGTTCTTTTATTCATGTTGCCATTTTATCACCATTACCTTACCTATTACATTTTTTTGCTTTATTTTTTAAATTATATCCTTATCGAATGAATTGAATGATGATTTTTCATTGAAATCCAATTTGTTTTTAGATTTTTGGCCTATATTTAAAATATTATTTACTTTTCCCTTGCCTTGTCATATCATTGAAGCAAATATTTCTTTATATTGGAATTGCTTTTACAGAAGGAGCTGGTAAAAATGGATCGACAGTGGCGGTATCTATGCTTATATTTTCTTTTTTCTTTTTTGAATATATTTTTGCAATAAAAATTGCATTTTTTTGCCATCTTCACAAAAGCTTTTCTAAATCTCGAAAATATCCTTTCTTTTTTTAATATAACAAATTTCACTTCAGAATTCTTCTGTCTTGTTTCCAATTATTCCTCTGATATGTGTTATACTCCCTTTTTACTACATATACAGTCGAGCAGATTCCAGCGTTTACGATGACAATATTACTTTATTTTCATTATGCTTTGGTGCGATTGCTACCAAAATGACAAATAGGTTGCTTATATTTTTTCTGTCCCCAAAACTTATTATGATATATTTGTTATAATATTACAATGAATGACATTTTTATGTCATCTCTTTATTCCTTTTTTTTAGGATAATCATTGGTTACATGAGTCGAAGTGAATTAAATCTTTGGGATTGGATATATATGGCTCCAACCGTGATTTTGCTCAATCAGTATTACGGTCCTCTCGTTGATGAACGTCTTCTTTTAATTTTTGCCACTGTAAGTTGCAATTTTTTTGTTTTTTTCATTAATTTGAAAAAAGATCAACTAGTGCTGAAGATCGTTGTTTAAAAAAATAGTGAAGCAAAAATAAAAACAAAAAAATTAGAAAATTAAAAACAAAATGTAATAAAATTGGATTGAGGAATCTTTAATTAATTTTCTCTATAGTTTACTAAGTTTCTTTTTATTGAGAAAGAATATTTTGTGGAGAACATCATCATTGTTAGACGATAATTGTTCCAATAATTGGTGAAGAAATTATGAAACAATATACTAGGCTTACAATTACGATTTATATTCTGTTTGCCTTTAAAAGAAATATGATTCAAATAAAATTCAAAAAAAAATAAATAAAAATCGCAATGCTTATTACAACTGAACTTAATGTAGCCATGTAAGATCTTGTAAGCAAAAATATTGCATGAATTCTCTTAACTTTAAGGCGATTACTTGGACTTATGATTGGTGGTGGAGTCAGGATTTAAGCGGCTTAGGAAATATTTCTAGGTGGCTTCAGTTAATTGTTGATATTTTATTAATTTAATTGATGTGTTATATTTGCGGAAGGAACTTCAGATATATGTCAGATATTATATATTGTTTTGTACTATATAATACTTCAGATGAGGGCAAATGTTTTAAACATAGTGATAAGAAAAAAAAATTCTCTGACCTATTTCGAGTGTTCTAAGCACAAAGATAAAAATTTAGAAAGTTTTTTAAATGTAATCCTCCTTAAATCAAAGCTGAGATTTCGATCAATCATTCGATCAATCAAGATCTGAAAAGTTGACCAATAATTATATGTTTTGATCAGAGGTTTCACCATTTTTATGGGAAATTTTGTGTTTATCAATAGATAATTTGATTTTTTCCTATAGAGCATTTAAATTTTTCTATCTATCATTCAAATAGATTTTGCAATCGTGAATGCACATGTAAATATGCGAATTATGGTTAATTTCAATGAAATAATTGAAATAATAAAGGAGCAATATAATTTATTAATATTTATTATTTGATTTATTGTAGTTTTATTTTGTTTATTATTTATAATTTATAACTTATTTATAATTTATTTTTTATAGATTCATTCTCGTAAGATATGAAGATTTTTTCATTTTATTTTTGTTTATTTTCATTTCAGAGTGAATGCATTAGTGAATGCATTATAGTTTTAATAAAGGAAAATTTTTGATGAAATTCCATCCTTAAAATTTATTTTCAGATGTATTCTTATGCCAATTTGCTCTTGTACTGTTTCGTTATATGTCGTCAATTATGTGATTATCTCAATATTAATTGTTTCTCTCTAAAACCTCGTTTTCAAGCGTTGCAGTTAAAGCACAATTAATTTCGCATTTTTTTTTAGTTTTTTTGCATCTTTGCATTTGATTATAGTTTTATTATATTTCGGTGATTTTCATACTTTTCATATCATTTTACAAGTAATTTGACATTTTGGAACTGACCTACTTATTTAAAAGATTAAGTTTTTAGGTTTGACGATTTATATTTTTTTTAAGTTCAGATACTTGATCTATTTTTACTTTTGCTTTTTTCTTAAACTCGCTAGTATAGGTTCAGTTTATTTTATTAAAAAACTTTTTAAATATTTCCTTTTCTATCTTTTTTTTTATGATAAACTTGCAAGCTTTTTATTCTGCTATTTTTTTCTACTTATTTCACCATTTTTATCGCTTTTCTATCGTTGGTATCGACCTGAAAAGTTTTTTTTTGCATCAAAAGAATTTATCTTATATTTCGGTTTATTGCTGGTTCATTTCCATTTGACCTCATTCTGGTATTGGATCATGTGAATTATGATATGGCTGTGCAAATTTGCAAGCTAAAATATTTTTTTATGCGCAATTTATTAAATTTCTTAGTTAAAATAAAAAAATTTTGTCTAAAATTCGGATGTTATTAGCATTAAAGCACAATACAGCAATATTTCTCAATTAAAGATATGTTCGCAAAAAAAAAGAAAGAAATTTTAAAAAATTTGAGAATTTGCTCAGCAAAAAAAGCGAAATCATTTGATGAATTTGTCTTTTTACCGAAAAAAAAACGAATAACAATTTTATAAGAAATGGAAAAATCCTATGATTTATGATTTTTTTAAAGCGAAAAATACAAATAATATTACTGAGAAAAACTAATTGCATGGATGGAAGAGAGTATCTTTTAATTTTCAAGGTTTTAGAAATCTTATTAATTACTGAATGATTAATGTGGGTGTGGAGATGGGTGAAGTATTGGCAAAAAATGCATATATATATATTATATAAACGATCTTTTGAAAAATTCTTTTCATTTGCATATCAGACTGATAAGAAAAAAAAAGTCCTTGAAAGATCATCCAAAATTCGTTATTTCGCTTCCATTGAAATCGTTATTGGAACCATTTAAAATGGTAGCTTTTGGCATTCGCTTTGCTTATACAATAATAATTACAATAAAGCGAAATAGTGAGAAGCAGCCGACTATTTCAATGGATTTAATGAATTTTTTTCCATATTTTTATTTCTATTTTTTATTTTTTTATTATTTTTATCTAATGTTATCCATAGCGTCAAATATCAAAAAGATAAATTCTTAAATGGTTTTATATTTTTGCAACAATTATTTGATTATCAGTAGGTGATAAATGGATATCGATGATAAAAGAATTAGGACAAGTTGATTAGGTTTAATGGATATCACCACCACCATCATGAATGTCAATCAACAAGAAAATTAGTAGATTTCATTGTTTCGAATTCGAATTCGTTGTTCTCATTTTATTCGAAATTCAAAATGAAATTTTTTTTCAAATTCTATTCATTTCAATTTTAATTATTTAAAATATTTATGATTATTTTAATAAAATTAATTTTTTAATCGAAAGAAGAAAATTTTTTGTGAGATTTTTGAATTTTTTTTTACGCTTAAAAAGCGAGGTCATTTCAATAATTAAACGTCGAATAGTCGTATTTGTTATTTGAAGAATTTAGCTCCTTAAAAAATTTTTTCGTCGTTCTAATTCTTCAAATTTTTCTCAATGAGAATTTTTCTAAAGTGAAGACGAAGATAAATCTCAATCTTCAGTTTTTTTTCTACTCTCATGTTATAGTATTTTAGATTTAAGACGACATTTAGGAAATTTTAACTCGGACTGTTTAAAAAGAGAATAAAATTCCCCTCCCCCTTCACTCCCCCCTCCCCCCACCTCCGTCTCATTCAAGGATTTCGATGACATTGAAATGATGACACTAAATTTTAAAGTTTTCTCATTTAAGACGATTGAAGAATTTCTATTTAAATTATTGCATTTTAAAAAAGTTTCATTCTTAATACTCGCAAAAATTAACGATAATTTTTTTTCTAAATTCTCATTTTCCTTGTTTTTTGTCGAAAGAAAATCGAACGATTTTATAAAAAGCGTAATTTATTTATTTTCCCCAAGAAAAACAATGCAAATTTATGAAATCCATCATTCGCTCAAATTGGATTGATAAAATGCGATAGAAAATATCGTCTGAGTCGTTTTTTATCACCTGAAAAAAAAATCTACTAAATTTTTTCTGTTTTGCCGCGTTGAATGTTGCATGATGAATGACTGAATTCGCGTTCTACTACTGTTGTCACATTATTTAAACAATTGTCCTTTCCAAAAAAACCGAAATATTTGAATATTTAATAAAAAAAAACTCACTTTTTAAAATAGATTTTTGTGTATAATATTTAAAAAAAAAAAAAAAAGAAGTTAATGACTTATTATTTTTCTTTCTAAGCCGTTCCACCGCCACCAATTTACTTATCTCATTTTTCGTCGATATAATTGAAACCATTTCATTTTATTTCTGAACCTTTTTTTTTTTAAATCTCTTCTTTATTAAAAAAAAATTTTAAAAAATTATTTTCAGCAAAAATGGAAATTTTAGGAAATCTCATTAAATCAATCGTTAAAATGGCAATATTATTACAGCTGATATATTTTCAATTAATTGTATGTTTTTCCATAAATTCTATAAATAATTAAATTATTTTAGATGTATATAATTACATGGTAAAGGAAAATATTTTATTATTATTTATAAATAGTAAAAGAGATAAAAGAAATAACGAGAAGGCGATAATATTTTAAAATATTTTATAATTGCTTGTAAACTTATGAGGAATATTGAAATAACAAAAGGTTCCAAAAAAGTCCTAAAAAAGGTCCCGCGGAAAATATTTCGAACACCGAAAATATTCCTAACAATTGGAAATTTCGTCAAATTCGTAAATTTTTATTAAATAAAAAATTTAATTTTTATTAAATAAAAATTTTAATTTTTCGATAAATTTGACTAAATTCTGATTTTGATTTTTGTAGTATTCGGTTGTTGAAATAAAATTTTATCGGTTCAGATCTAAATAATAAAGATTGATGACCATTGTGCCTTAGAAATTGAAAAGTTCATAATATTTTACAATTTTCTAATAATTTTTTGATAATTTTCGAAGATTTTCGAAGAAAAATTTTTTCCATGTAATTGCTTTATTTTACGATTTTTTAAATTATTTTTTGGAATAAAATAGCAAACAATCGTTCGTTAATGATTTTGGGTAATCGAAAAACTTTTAATTTCTAATTTAAACCGCAGTTTTCTAAAAATTTCAAATTATAAATATATTTTTAAATTGAAAATGGAATTATTTGAAAAATTTTAAGGAAACAAATAGTGAAAACGAATGGGTGAAATTTCAAATTTGTGGCGATCGTTTAAATAATATTCTAAAAAAGGTTTTAATTTTCTTCCTTCTATAGGCTTTTCGTCTAAAACGCTCACCATTTCTCGCTAGGCTGAACTGTTCGTAATAATTTAGGACTCGCTTCGCTAGCTTGTCGGATCAGACAGGCAAATTTTTGTCTAAGACGTTCAACCTTCGTTCCATAGGTTTATAATATTCGGAATTTTCCCTTCTCTTTTCAGCAGTATAATTTTGTTAATTAAAAATGTTTTTTTAATATTTTAAAAATTTTTTATTAATTCATTCTTCATTTCGTTCATTTTTTATTTTTTATTATTTTCTTCAATTTTGTTTTTTTTTCTGGAAAAATGATTATTTCAATGGGAATAAAAATTGTTAATTTGAATTATTGTGAAAATTTTTACAATAATTTTTTCCACTTCATTCAAAAAATAAATCATTTTTATAAATCATTTTCTCTTTGCAAAATTCTAAGTTTTTTTAAACCCCTTTTTATTTATAAAATATTAATAATCTAATAATAATATAAAATATTAATGAAAAATATTAATTAATGCATTTTAAATATTTAGGTATGCACACCTGCTGGTCGAACGCATCCTTGTTTTCAAGGTGGTCAGCCGAACAGAAGTCCAGTTTTTGAATTAAAAGGTGCTTTATAGGTGTTTCTTGGCAAGAAAACCAGCCTATTTTTTAGCTTATTTCAGTTGTTAACTGCGAAAAATTCATTAATTACAAACAAAACATCTTAAGTAAAAGAAATTTTAAACTACTAAGAACTACCAGAAAAATATGGCGCGGTTTCTGGTAATTTTTTTGTCAGATTTCTTGTGAGAGAATTGAAGTCGCATATACTAAAACAGCCTTGGTCAGTCGACGATTTATGCAAATCCAGTAAAATATAAATTGTTTAGACGAATCGTTCGCAACAATTTAGGGCCTATTGAAGCTTATTTAAAGTTAAAATTTACTTAAAATTTTCGGAAATGCAATTAATTTATAGGCAACAATAATCGTTATACGCGACATTATCAACGTGGTGTTGCGACAACTTGCTGCTTTTACGGTGACTGTACATTGCAATATTTAAGAACATTTTGTTGTCACATTGATTATTATGATTAATTCTTAGAACGATACGAGGTATAATGGATATAATGGCTAATTTTATCACTTTTAGATCTCATAAATCTATTCTCATTGTCAATTTTATAAATTTTATTTTCTGTACATGCGATTGATTATATTCCATTCATTAACTACTCTATGAGTATTAATTGATAAAATTGATAATAATTGATTAAAAAAAGAAATATCTCTAAAAAAGATAATTAATATTTATATAATGAAATATTATTAAGTATTACAAATGTGCAAAAATGCATACAAGCATGTCTTTCTGGATAATATGATAAAAGCTAGGATTTAAGCTCTCTGATTTTCATCGAATGTCTTCTTGAAACGGTTCTATTTGCTTTTTGGAATAATGGACAAATATTTTTTTTATTTCAATAATTTTCCATCGAAACGAAGAATTTTTCGGTGAAATCTGTTTGACTGCTTTTTGCTTACAGTCTGAGATTGGAAAAAATTACTTATTTATGGACAAATTTCTAATTTATCCGATAAATTATTCATTTATAAATCTTCGAAATAATTTTTCCTGAAAACTTTCCTAGAATGGATTCATTTAATGTTTCGACTATTTTCGATAAAATCTACTCAAATATTTGCTTTTCATTTGCTATTCACAATAGGCGAGCGAATTTTTTCGCTAATATAACTAACACCTCCGTTGTTAATCTTTGCGTCGTTAAGCATTTTTCGTCGAATTCGCCTCATGTCGATTTATAAACAATCTATGCTACTAATTAAACTTTTTTCGCAAATTTACGAATTAATTAATTTGCAAAAAAAAAATAAAAAAGAAAAAATAAAAGAGAAAAACGATTGATTTTCTTCCCACATATTTTATAAAATTTTTGTCCTTATTTAGAAAAAAAAATATTTTGCAAAAAATTTATCTGTAAAATTTAAAATTTTTCGCATCTTTTACTTTGCATATTTCTGGTTTATCTTTCGTATTTGATGACAAAGAAAAATGAACTTTCTAGTCATTTTAATCAAATTTCCTTAAATGTTCAATGCCATTGCATTGAATAAACTACGAAACGATTCGTGCATATATCACAAAAAAAATGATTTTTTATTTAAAAGAGAGAGATTTTAGTTCCATGGAAATACTGGAAAATGTGTGAAATAGAAATATGGTGGTTAGTACGATTAAAATATGTATGTCAAAGGTTGGAGCTTAGACGTTCCAGCAGTGAACGTTCTAAGGAGTATAATTGAAATGAGGACACTCTAAGATAAAGCTTGGCCTTGGCGTGTGGAAGATAAATCCTAACCATTCCAAGACATGAATAAATCATTCATAGCCATTTCAGCTAAGGCGTGTATATTTTAAGAGGGCAACGAAAATTTAAGAAAATTTAAATATTTTTTTAAATAAAAATGTCGAAAAAATTTGCAGAAATTTCGATAATTAATTTTTTCAATAATTTTGCTAAATTTGCAATAAAAGTTAGAAATAAAATTTACAAATTCTGTTAAATTCTAAATGAAGAAAAAAACTGTTCTCTTTTAATTTTTGATTCCAATTTTCTTTTGTTGCGTTTTTTTAATATAAAAAAATATTTTTAATTAAAATTGTCGTATGATAAGTCTGAATTAAATGAATTTTTCTCATCATTGAATAAACGGTGAAATTGATGAAAAAAATTTTTGTTTAAATTTTATACATTGTTGAAACAAATTAATTTTTTTAATGATCATTTGCTTCACAGATTAATAAGTATAAAATGAAATTTAAGCTATGGAAAGGTCAAATGTCAAAGAAATTCCAAGGAAAATGTTCGCTAATTCCAATAAATTTCTGAAATTCTTATCATATTTTCCATTACACTTTTATATGCGATAAAAACCATTAAATATTACATAAAGCAATTTTTTCCAGAAAAAAGTCTAATTCCCAGAAAATACTTTATTTTATTTTATTATTAAAGATTGCATTTCAATACAAATAAGAAGTTTCGAAAATATATTTTTAGAAAAATTTTATCAAATGGCCTAAAAAGAACGAAAATTTTAGCCAAAAAATTGAGAACAAATATATTCAATCGACCAGTTGATTAAAAAATCAATTTTTATTAAAACAAAAACAATTATAGAAAACCCACAATAAAAAGATAAGAGTGATAAAAAATTTGATTAAAAAAATTTAGAAAATAAATTTCTAGAAAAATGGAAATTTTCTCTTATTTCTCGAAACGTGCTCATTGGTATCATTTATTGCAACACTTGCTATAAGGAAATAGTTGTGGCTGCCTTCGAGATTTCACTTTTAATGACCGTTTTATTCTTCTCGATGGAGAAATTGGATTTACAATGCTCGATTTTTTGTTATGCGAAATTTTCAAACAGTCGGCGATTTTGAATGAAAGAAAACGAAAGAAACAATGGCTCAACTGATTTGAAAGGACTGATTTAATATAGTCTTAAGATATTTTCCTGATAAAAAATGATAAATGGTTTTAGATTTTTGATGAAGCATAATTCCAATAGAATTAAAAAATATTTTAATATTTAATATTTTATTTTAAATATTTAATATTAATATTTTTAATATTAATATTAAAAATATTTTAATTAGTACCATGAAAATAAGATGAGAAATATTCAATTAAAAAATCTATCATTTTATTTAATCTCAATTGCAAACTTATTCCAATACTATTACAATCAAACTGCATAATTATAAGAAATATTTCAGCGATGCTTGATTGAATGAGGGAAAATTTAAAGAGTTTTTTCAGGAATTGTTAAAAAATCCGATATCGTAAATAATCTGCAAAATATTTGTACAAATGATTTACCCTATCATTTTTTAGTAAAGTCAAAATAATTTCAAGGATTTCCAAAAATTAAGTTTTTGTAAACGAACAAAGAGCTTATCAGAATTTAAAAAAAGTGGTAAAAATTTATGATTTCTCGGTTTGCAATTTTTCAAACTGGTTTTTCATTGTTTTTTTTTCTCCAAATTTGGAGGGTTACGTTCGGAAACATTTTGATTTTTTTACGTTGTTTCGAATATTTTTCAAAAGTTCAAATATTCTTTATTCTCATTTTTTAGCAATTTACTATCGCTAATATATTGAGAAAAAAATTATTTAAGGATTCGCTGTGATTTTTGTTAAATGTCAGCAAAAAAAAAAATTACGAATTTTATTCGTAATAAAAAATTAATTTAAAAAATTATTCTTTTGTATCGTTATAATTATCGAAATAATCTTCCTTTAATAATTTTAAAGATGGAATGGCTTAGTAGACTTAGTAATGTTGAGCGCCAATGCTGAGGTTCTACTCTCCACAGAAGTGAATTTTGAGAAACTTGACTTTTGCGTGTTGCTATCATCTCACCTGCATTTCTATCACCAAATGATCCTCTGGAAAGATTCACCTGAACCCGCGGAACGTGCTTAACCAGAAATGAAATGGTGAGCGTTCCTAAAAAAAAAAATAATATAATTTTAAATCAACTTTAATTGTGCGAAATTCTCATAATTTTTGAAATTTGGCTGCTTTTTGTAGATTTTTCGAAATTTAATATTCATAAAAAATGATCAAATATAAATATAAATGATTAAATATAAATAATTAAATATAAAAGTTTTAAAAATATTTTTGAGTTTTTAATTAACACTCTTTAATTAATTAATTTTATATTTAATAAAGAATTTCTTTTTTTTGTGAATTTGAAAACCGAAAAATAAAAATTGAATACAAAAAATTCAATTTTTGTTGTTTTCTCTAAAATTCCATTAACAAAATTTAATTACTTTTTAGAGCTTTGAAACTTAGAGTTTTTTTCAATTCTTTTCATCATTTTTCAACTTTTTAAAAAAAAAATTTTGTTATAAATGATAAACATACTGAATTATCCATGGGGAAATGCAAAATTTTACAAATTAATTTAAAATATTAATTTAAAATTCTATGCCGATATTTATTGATGATATTTTTTTTTAATATTCCTCACCATTACTCGCTCCGCTGGTTTGTCGCACCGGACAGATACACCAGAAAATCCCTTGAGGACAAAAATACTCACCCTTACTTCTGGACAGGTTTAATCCTACAAGGGAATAGAGCCTCAACATCGGCGTTTCAAAATGAACAACAACCCACTGAGCCATTCTATTCCTAGATTGGCGCTATTGAGGTAAATTGTATTAGCAATAATTTCAAATTCACTGGTTGAATGAGTGATAATAATTTTAATAACTGATGATATAGTCCAGAATTTATTTATTTATCAAAAAAATTTATCAAAAAAACTTTAAATTATTTCTTTAATTTTTTAAAAATAATTCTTTAATTTTTCTAAGAATAAATTCTTCATAAATTATCATAAATTTATAGCGTTTATTAACTATTATTTAAGAAGCACTTACAACATATTCAAAGTAATTAATCAGTCACAGAAAGTTTGCTATCACTTTCGACCACTCAGCAATTCATGAATTCCATGTGATTAAAATGATTCTATCTTCCATTGAACCAGAAAAAGCGCATATAAAATTTCAACGTCTATCTACACCTTTGAAAAGCTGATCAATTAAGGAGGCAGCTGGAGTTAGGGAAAGGGGAATATGCGGAAGAATCTGCTAACACAAATCCAAAATGGTTTCCAAAATGCCGAAATTACCACTTGTAGGCAAGTATCGTTATCATGCAGAAGTTTCTTGTCCTAAATGGAATTACGATTGTTTCCATTAAATTTGAAAGAACTTTAATGGCCGACAGATAATTGTTTCATCTATTTCAACTATTGACAATATGGAATACCTTTACAGTCCCACCATGTAAAGAGAACTGTTTTCCCGAAAAAAGCCGATAGTATCCCCGATTGTTCCGGGTGAACCCATGGTTTGCGGCTCTTAGGATTTTCATATTGAGCCCAATCTTTACTTCCAGTGACAATCTTCCACAAAAAAGGCTTTCTCTTATGTAGCAGAAAGAAAAAGAACTTATCTACGTCCAGTTCATTGAGTTCATATATCTCCTATTTCCCTATTTCTTTTTGAATTTTCCCATTGCTTTGTATTAATAAAAATTAATCACGTCCTAACTGGTGTAACAATTCTAATTTTCTAGTCGGATCTTTATCAATGACAAAATTATCAATGGTGATTAATGGCAAACTCGTGTGATTTGCCTGTTTTTGGCTATCTTGAAAGTCAAAGTCTTCTTTCTTGAACTTTATAGACTATTCAGTGCATCTGCTATTTATTACCTCTTGTTCCACGTCCATAAATTTTGTCAATCTATATTTTTATTTGCTCGTTCTAAGATTTAAAAAAAAAGTGATACACGTTTGTCGCAATCTTTACAATTTTAAAATACAGTGAATTTTAATATTAAATGCAAATATGAATATTTAATAGCAAATTAAGCAATTCTCGTAGAATAGCTTCATTAATCCAGCGCCTGGAATTTACGCAAATATCAAATTATCATTAACATTTATCAGAATAAGCTGCCTAATTTTCGAGATAGTTTTCGCCACATCACTATCGACAAAAATTCGGCAATCATCTGCGACTATCGACGATATCGCTTAGCTCAAAAAACATCCTCCTAATGCTATAATAGCCGTAAATATTGTTTCGTACTAACATATTTTCGCCTCTTCATTGTCGTTCCCTTTCATACGGCCTGTATACGTCGGTTTGATCTCTATTAAAATAAATAAAATCAAATGAAATGTGCTGCACTGAGCACTCCAGCAACAATCTCTTAACAGCTTACCAATTTCTAACAGCTCGCATTATTACTGGCTCCACTAACTACAAAGGTAGGGCGCTTTAAAGTTCCTCGCTTCAATGCCATGTCTCAAATATCCATTCGCCTTATCAAAACCCATAATCAGTGGCCGCCTATACATTTCAAAAATCTTTTCTGATTGTATTTTGGTTGATTTGGTGGCCTTTGACCATTAATTATCTTATCAGTTGATAGCATTCATAGATATATGCAAAAAAAAAAATTCTTTTGCTATTACATACGACTTATGGACAAATGTTTATAATATTTAAAATATTTCTTTGAAAATTTGTCGAAATGCAACATTATTTTAATGGAAACTTTTTTACACCATCAATAGATGAAAATCGAAACAAGAAAAGTCCTTTCAAAAGATCAAACCACTATTATTTTATTTGGTCAATTAATTTAAAAGATAACAAAATGAAAATATTAAAATATCCATTAAAATTATAATAAAATATGCTAATATAACATATTCAAACGAATAAAACCATTAATATTCCTAAAGTACTAAATATAATAATGTATTTTCTTATGGCACATGATAATAAATGTGAAATGATAATGGCATGCGAGATAAATGGCAATGTGGAAGAATTCTTTCTCCAAAAATTCAAAAAAAAACCACTTTTCATTCTAGAAAAAGTAAAAGAACCGATTATCCTTAAGAGATAATAATTTCATATCAAAAATTTTAATCATATCAAATCATATCAAAAATTTAAAAAATATTTAAAAAATCAATATTTCATATAAATATTTTTGTTGAATAAATTTTATAGAAATAATTTAAATAATCTTAATTTTAGAAAATTTTGCAAGGTAACGATTCATATTATCAAACCTAATTTTATGCTAAGTTGGTCAAAATAGTTCAATTATTTTCTACTGATTCCACGCTCGAGCTTCAAATTCTTCTTGCTCTTCAGTATCGGAGACTTCATTATCACTTGGATGGGGAGTAGTCTGCCGACTTGTGACTGGTGTTGAAGCTGCTGATATTGGCCTTGGAAGTTTTTGAAGCGTCTTATTGATAACTTCATCCAAATCCGGGTGAGTTTTTTGCAGAGCTGCACGTCTCGCTTCACGGTAAAACTAGAATCTTTCACGATGAAAAGAAATATTTTTATAAATATAAAATATTTTTTAAACAAATTTTTAAACAAATTTAATAAATAAGATTAATTTTTTATGTTTAAAGTCAAACTTTTCAAATAAATAGAAAAATTTCGCAAATCTTTCGCACAATGTTGAATTGACTTTAAAAATTTTAAAAAATAAATTATTACAGCTCCAAGAGTTTTCCAATCTAAAATTTCGCTTAGCCGCTCAGTACGATTTCTCATAATAATTCGTTGTCGTCGAGAAAGTAATCTATAATTTAATTTAAAGATTTTTAAATATTATATTATATTAAAAAACATTAAAAATATTTTTTTGTTTTTTGCCAAAAAGATGACTGCAAAAAATGGCAGCTATGCCAGACGAAAGACCATAGAGATTCATAACAAAATGAAACTTAAAGAACTTAGTTTTGAGTCACTGAATAATTTATTTAAAAAAAAAACTACGCGAAATTATAAAGTTGATTGGTTAGATCGTTAATGGATTCATTTGCACTCTTGAAACGCCGATCAACTACAAATATCCCATATGAACCTGGATCGGTGACATGTTCGTTGATGAAGCATCCAAATCCAGACAAGTTCGTTGTAATGGATGGAATTCCCATTACAGTACATTCAGCTAAATATTAATTTATTTAGAGAAGAGGAAAATTAAGAAAAAGAAAATACTGAAAAAAGCCGTAATTACACTATGAGAAATAAATGAAAATCCAGAGAAATAAATGAGAATTGAAAATTACCGGGAGTATAACCCCATGGTTCATAATAACTCGGAAACACTCCAAGATGGCATCCACGAACAAAATCCTCATAATCCAAATTCATTAACGGTGAAACAGAAGAAAGGAATTCTGGATGGAAAATAACCTTTAAATACAAATAAATATTTAAATATAAATATTATAAATATTAAATATTTTTGTAAATATAAATATTTAAATACAAATAATTGTAATAAATATTATTAACAATAAATATTATTGTTATTACAAATAAGAATAATAATAATTTTGTTTTTTTGCAAATCATTTCAATTCATTCCTTGTAATAATTATAATATTTAAAAAATAAATATGCGAATGAACCTTAACACGATCGTCTGGTTTATTAATAAGATTCGTTCGCCGAAAAGCATTTAAAACTTGATCACCAGCATCGTCAACCATATTATGCGTACATATTGGCGGCAAATGATCGCGCTTCAAAATTATCATACAAATTATCATTATTTGTAAATTCGATTATCAAATTTAGGAAGATGGATAATTTTAGTAATTTTTTTCTCTAAATCTAAGAACTTTTAGAATTATAAAATTAATGAAAACCTTTGCGCTTAAAATGCATCGCTTTAATCGAATTTCTTCTTCAGGTGTCAGTATATCTTCTTTACTGGGCATATTTCCCCTAAAATTCTTTTTTATGTTTACATTTGTCATTTCATCTCTAAATTGTCAATTTTCACTAAATTCGTATTATAAATAATTGAAATATCTATCGATAAATAAAATTTATCGATAAAATAAATAAAACTCAAAGTAATATTCCTTTATATTTCCGACGTTCCGTCGTTCTAAAACCTTTCCTAAAACGGAAACCTTTTAATGAAAACCTTTTTTCAACACTTTTAATACTTTTTATTATTAAAATTAGAATTATATAATGTTGATCGTAAAAAGTTAAGAAAAAATTGATTTTCATAATATTGAAAAAAATGAAATATTCAGGCATTTTTTTCATGAAATTCATTCTTCAATTTTAGCTAATGCTAAGAATTAATTCAAAAATCTATATTAGCTGCTTTTGTGCTTCAACATCTACATTTTTTAAAATATTTATTTTTTTCCCATTATTTTAGAAGAACCATCTGTTATTTTAGATTTTTATGTGAGATTTCTATGTGAGATTTTAAATAATAAAAGAGGTCCACAGGAATAAAAATAATTCTTTTTCCAACAGAAAAGAACAAATGGACAATGGAAATTTGGACAAATGTGAGATTGATAAAAATATTTCCAGAAAAATATGATTAAAGGAATTTTTAATTTTCAGAAATTTCAAAATTAAAAAAAAAGTTTATATTTGTGCAATTAAAAATGGAAAACAGAAAACGATGCTTATCTTTTGAACAAGCCTAATGAAATTAATTAATCTAAGTCTAATTTAAAAATATTTTAAAATAAGAATTGGAAAACATTTTTGAAAAAAAATGAATAATCGGTGACCTTTGACACGATTCGAAGATACGATTAGCCATATTTTCCTTTATACTTGCAATAGCTTCTTTCATTTGCTTACAAACGGCTTGTCCTTTCAACGATTCAACATTAAACGAATTTGCTGATGCTGGATAAATGATAAACGCAATAACCGTAACACCATTACATCGTGGATCATTCGATACCTTTTAAAAATTTTTTTAATATTGTAAAATTTCAAAAATATTAAAAGATCAACTAAAAAATTCTTGAAAAATTTCAAAAATTTTCGTTTTGTAAAATAAATAAAAATTCTATAAAAATTTCTTTTTTTCAACTTTTGACACAAGCAAATATTATTTATTATTATTATTATTTGTTAAACTTCTGATTATTTTTAATATTTATTAATAATCGAATCGTTTACAATAATAATAATAACAAAATTAATAATAAAACAAAATAATAAAAAATTAAGAATTATAAAAAAAATGACAAATTACGAGGAAACAAGAATGCACCGAATATGGTCAACAATGTTTCAGTGTTTAACTCAGTGTTTCCCAAACTGCTTTTTGAAGGAATTAAATAAATACCTCGCAAATTTATTTATAAATTATATAAAATATATATATTTTTTTAGAAATGATATAGGCATTTTCTGATGCAGTTTCCCAACATTTTTGAGGCTTCCATCTCTCTTTTATAATTTACCAAGAATAATTCCTGGCTCCAAAATCCACTTATATTTATTTAACTAAGGCGAATGCCTTCAGTGAATATCAAAACTTGTGGGGTTCATTCATTAGGTTAAAATATAATCATAAGATTGCATCCACCCTCATTCAAATACCACTTGCATTAACATTACTACTACAAAGCGTCACCTGCGCTGGTTGGGGTATATATTTCGTCGTCCACCAGAAGAGTTGGTTGGCCATATTCCATTATTTGCTAAACACAGTGATCAATGGCGTCAAAAGCGAGTGAGCCAATCAAGACTAATTGAACTAACAAACGGTCAGGGAGATTTTGAACATAGGTGAACCAGCAATATATGGACTTAAACAGTGGAAAAAAGAATGGCTTCTATTCTTCAGCGATAATATCAGATCGCGCAGCTTGGAAACGTCTTACCCTTGTAGCCGTTGGAGCTAGCCTAACCAGTAATGATAAGAGTTGTTAGAAGAGGAACAAGAAAAGTTCATTTGACTTAGTTAATGGTGATTCGAAATAAGAATCCTATGAAGAATCTTCTATAATATAATTCTAAGGGAAATTTAAGATGAAAAAAATCTCAGTGTGTAAAGCTGAGGAATTCGAGCATTACTTCCTTTTAGCACGAACTCCTTCTACGAGATTTTCATTCTCGCATAGGATTTCATAACACACTGCAAAATATAGGAATAGTCTTCATGCCATATACGAGGAGTGAGGAGCATTCGACGGTCTAATATCGTACGTTAAGGACCAAATACATCGGTCGGTCATCTCATTGAAAATGTTATTTTAAATTCTTTTTAAAAATATCACTGCTATTGTATTTTGTAAAAAAGCGAACGAGAATTTGCAATAATTTCTAATTTTTTACGCAATTCAATTTTTATACTAATATTTCTATTATAAGTAAAAATAAGTTTCGTTGATATTTTATAAATAAAATATACCAAATAACCACAAATATAATTTAAATATTCTGCAACCATAATGAAATTTAATAGCGGTTTAGTGGTGAAAAAGAAAAAAAACGCTTGGGAAACGCTGGCTTATAGCTTAATAAATTCTATGAATTTAGAATTAGAATTAAAAAATAAAAAAAAAGCAGAAGCGAAAAAATTAAAAGCAATTTTCTCTAAAGAACAATTATTTATTCAAAAGAATTAACAAATAAGATAAAATTACTTCTTTTTTCTTCTTTTAAATTTGCAAAATTTTTAATTTTGAAAATTCTTTGGAAAAGAAATTTTTAGAATTTCGATAGGCAAATCTAATAAATAAAAATAAATCGAAAATTTGCAACAATAATTAATTAAAATTTTAAATTTGAGATTTTTTTTGTTTTTTTAAATTTCTCTTCGAATATACAACCAACAGACAAGTCGGCAAAAGATGATGAAAGACATAAGGCATTATTATTATTACTATTATTATTATTGTTTTTAATACTTTTATTATTATTATTATTAGTATTGTTATTAGAAGACAAATCAATAATTGGTTCGAGGAAATTTTTGTTTTGTTCATCGATCGTTTCCGCTTTATCAATATTGGCTAATAAAATATTCTCATTATTTTCAATATTATTATTATAATTGTTATTTATATTAGCATTGTGATAAGCTGTTGATTCAAATCTATTTTTATACGAGTAATTACTGAAATTTTATTGAAAATATTAAAAAATTCCAATTTTCATAAATATTAATAAATTTACAAAAAGAAACGTGTAATTTCCCATTAACTTTTCTTATTGCAATTATCAGAATAAGAGAAATCATTAAAAAATTTCAACTTCCACTGATAAATTTATTTCTTATCAGAAAATCACAAAATGTTGAAAATTATTAGAATTTTTCCAGTTATCTCCATACTTTTTCCTTTCTCTAAAAAAAATTTTTTTCTAAATAAATTTTTTCCAAATAAAATTTTAATGAATTAATTTAAATGAATTTTGAAAAAAAAATTTTACCGTTTATTGAAAAAACATGAATATTTATTTGCCAAAATAAATTTTTTACCATTTTTATAACACGAATAACGACGATAATTTTGATCAATTTTTATATCATTTTTCCAATAATTATTTTTTCTTTTATTTTGAATAATTTTCAATCCAAAATTATTATTCTTTTTAAAAGAATTTCTTAAATTTTTATTAAGAAATGCATAAAAAACCCAATTAAATGCGCTCTGCGCATATGGCAGTGAATGTACAATATACATTAACATTATATGACTTGTCGATGGTGTCGTTGTCGTCGTCGCCATTGTCGTCGTCGTTGTGGTTAAATTAAAATTATTAATTAAAGAAGCATTATTAATAATAATACTTTCCGCTAGCGACGATGAATTTACTAATGAAATTCTTGCTGCTGCTGTTGGTGATAATAATAGTGATGATAATAACGATAATGACGATGAATTATTATTGTTATTTACTAACAAAATATTATTATAACTACTGTTATTATCAATATTAACAAATGACGATGATGATTTCGTTCCTTCTAATGGTTCTGAAATTATTATTTCTACATAAAAAAATATTAAAATATTAAAATAAAAAATTAATTTAATCATTTCGAAATAAATGGAAACTATTTCACTCGAATGAAATAATTTAAAATTTAAGAAAATTTCGAAATTTAAAAAAATTAAAATATTCAAAATATTAAATATATAAAGATATTTGAAATTTAAAAAAAAAATATTCAAAAATATTTAAAAATTAATAGAATTCAAAAAAAATTTTATAGGGCTTTTATCAATTTATTTTTAATAGCTTTAAAACATTAATTTTAAAGTAGTAATTACTTCTGTAAATTAAAAATTTTATAGTTTTCATTATTATTTTTAATATAATAATTAATAAAGAATAAATGAAATTTTTTCATTTTCTTATTAATTCTTCCAATTACGTAAGAAACTAAAAATCAAAATAAAATAGTAATTTGTAATTTCAAATGTTTTTTTTCTATGCTTCCTATTTATGAATTTTTTACAAAATTTCTTTATGCAAAAAAAGCTCGAAAAACTCAAAAGAGCCATTAAAATCATTTTTACGAAGGACCTTTAAGGGCCATTAATGAGGATTAAAACTAAATTTTGGGAATTTTTAAATTGTAAAAATTAAAATTCCAGCAAACATTCAAATAGTTAAGAAATAATAATTATTATATTTAATTAATTTATTATTTTTATTTCTATCATTAATATTACTTTAAATATTATTTGAAAAAGAGATAAACGAACCAAAAAAAACAGCGAAAATTCTTAAAATCCAATAAGGCGTCCAACAAATAAAATAAAAAAGAACAATCATAACCGACGATTTAATAACGCGATTCAACGAGATATTACTTTTATTGCCAATGGTACTCGATTTTATATGTTTATATAATTTTTTTAAAATATTTAAATAAACAATAACAATTACTAATAATGGCAAAATGTAACAAATTGATATATGCAAAAAATCATAAAATTTAGAAATTTGTAAAACGCATTTCGTATGTTCTTTGAAATAATTATCAAACATTACCGTTATTTCCGCTTTATAAATTATTGGTATTATAAAAAATAATGAAATAACAACAAATGTTAGTAAAAATAATAAAAAATATTCATTCTGTCGATAATAATTATTCGGAAGACAAATTATAATATAGCGATCAATTGATAATAATGTTAATATTAGCGGTGATAATGTTTTGTTTGTTCCTTCACAAAAAAATAAAAATTTACATAAATATATATTAAATGGCCATTGATTGTATAAAATATCAATAATTATTAGTGGCAATGACAATATTGATATAAAATCAACAATTGATAATATTAATATATACAAATATGTTAAATATTGATGGTTTCTTGTAAATTTATTATTTTTATTTCTATCATTAATATTATTATTGTTTGTGAATAATTGACAAAAAACAATAAACATAACCCATATATTACCAAAAAAACCACATAATGCTAATAAACAATACAATACTATTAAAAAATATTCATTTATATCCATCTAATAAAGAAGAAAATCTGAAATTATTCATATCATTATCAAATATTATCAGCCTTTATGACTTAAACGTTCGCTAATTATCAAATTAATTGAAATATATTTTTAAAAAAAATGAAAGAAAATTTATAAAAAGAAATTATCGATAATATTAAATAATATTTGTCAATTTATAACGTATTTTATAATATAACTGATAATTGATAAAATAATTTTGATAACATTTTCAATATTAATAATATAATTAATATTGACATTTTCATCACTTTCTAATAATTAATTTATATCATTTTTCTGCACAAATATATATTTGAAAAAAATTTCTCATCACGACAATAGCAGCCAGCCAAACACGCCAAAAATGGTGAGAAATCCTAACCACTTATGCATAAATAAATATGTGCTCACAGAATTATGCACAAATTTCCCGTAAATATATAAAATTTTATAAAAATTTTGCTTTCAAATATAAAACTCAATAATAATTTTTTAAAATAGGAATTCCAGAAAATTCCAATTTAATTAAATTTAAAGAAATTTTAGCCGAAGAGCGATTTTTATTGAGAACTCTTCTGAGGTGGTTCGTCATTTGTGGTTAGGCTCGCTCTACTGGTTTGTTGGACTCGACAAATTTTTGTAGAGAATTATTAGGCGATAGAAATGAAAGATGAGATGATGAAATTAGAGTCTGATTACTCTTATCGCCAGTAGAAAAAGCTATTCTGAATTCTCAAGAACAGTAATATGTCAGAATGAAAAGAAATGGATGAACGTTAAAAGAAAGCAACAGATTGTTAGTTTACGATATCATATAACAAATATATATATATATATATATACGATTGTAGATTGAAGAACATCGGCGACGTGACAGAAAAATCAGTAAGAAGGAGAAGGAACTAGTAGAAGAAATCAGAGAGCTGCCAGAGGTTGAAAGAGGAACTGGAGAAGATATGGAATGGAAAGCGAATGCTAAAATGACGAAAAAAATGCATAAAAAATTTATTTAAATTTTATAGTTTTCTAAATTTAAAATTCTGAAAAAAATATCAGTGATAATCTAAGATCAATTTCGACTTGTGATCGAGCCGAAAAAATGGTCCAACAGATACTAAGAAAAACGAAGAAGAAGAACAAAAGAGACCTCGGTGACCAGGTGTAGGCCGCAGAGAGATAATCAGAAACACCCACAGGGGATTGAGAAAGGGATTTATATATATATGTTATTCTCATTTCGCAGCTTCGATGCTGCGGTTTTACTCCTTTCAGAGAAGCCTTTCAAAACTTTGGCAATGCAGGCGATTTATCACCATATGACTCCCCAGCCTAGCCACTCTGGCTAGAAATGCTCTTGAGTGCTCTTAGAAAAAAAATTATATATAAAATATTTATAAAGAATTATTGAACAAATAGTATTGTTTAAATTTTTCCTATTTTGCAATATAAATTTTTAGAATTTATTAATCAAACATTTATGTTTACGGATGTAAAAATGAAAAACCTTTTGTGAAAAAAGAAGAAAAAGAATTGCAACCAAAAAAAATAATAATTTCAAACAAAATCTGCAGACAAATATGAAAAAAGAAAATATTTTTTAAAAGAGAAAATAAAACTGAACGAATTTTTCTACTTTTTTTCCAAAATATTTTCAAATATTATTTAAGAAGTTCTAATATTTGTTTTATATATTTTAATAGTTAAAATATAAATAATTAGAAATTTCTTATGCAATGCAATAATTTAATTTACTTTGGATTAAATTTTTATTTAATTCAATTTTCCTTTTTTTTTTATTAACTTTATTTGGATTTTACTTCGCTAAATAAAATACTTTCAATTTGAAACATAGTTAATTGAATTTTTTTCGAAAATGCTTCTTTCTTTCTTAGAGCGCATATAATTTTCTGCCGTTAGGCTTTACTTGAGGTGCTAAGCAAATTTTGTCGTATTTTAACTACTAAAATATCATTAAATCGTCAATTAGGATTTTCTAGAGATAAATTTACTTCAGCCGAGAACAGAACCCCAGCTATGGCGCTTCGAGATATGAATAAAAACTCACTAAGCCATTCCACACCAACCCATTATTGTAACTGCCTTATCATATAAAATAAATGTAACAATTTTGAATAAAAACCTTTCAAATATGTCCAATTAATTAAAAAATTTTAACGAAATATTATAACTAATATTGTAACGAAATATTAATTTGAATTATTGAAATATAAAAATTGAAAAGAAAATTTTAAATAACGAAAAAAAAATTTTAATAAATGTTCTTCGAACGAAAAAAAAAGGAGAAAATTTGTAAAATTTATAATTTTCGAAATAATTCGATGAAAGAACGAATAGAAAAAAGAAGCAAAAAATTTCATTAATTTAATAAATTAAATATTATATAAAATTTAATAATTCCTTTTTGCAATTAACTGCTGCATTTTCATAATTTTTGGCTTTGGCTCGTTTCGCTTCATTTGCTGTGCTAATGCAACAATAATAATGAGGAGGGAGAAAATTTGCGACCTTTGGGAATAGAAATACAAATATGCGTATTTCTTATATTTGTATGGGTTCCCAGCACCACTATCTGCCGTATTTAATAATAATTATAATTTGTTTAATAAGGTAATTTTAAAGATTTTAATATTTTTTTAAGTCAAAATTAGAAGGTGGAGAGATTATAGAATAAATGCCCAGAAAATCCAGAACGTCGATTCAACCAGTTTTTAAAAAATAATAAAAAAAGCAGTAATTAAAGCTGAAATTTACGATTATGAAATATGAATCATCAGATATTAAAATATATTTTCAATAAAAAAATATTTTAGAAGGTAATAAATTAAAATAATTAAAGTAAATATGATAATAAATTATAAAAATTTCATTAAAAACTAAAACCAAAATTTTTTAAAATTTCAAAATAAAAACATAATCAACAAAAAATTATTTCCTATAAAATTTTATAATAGAAAAAAGAAGCAAAAAATTTCATTAATTTAATAAAATCAAATATATAATATTTAATAATTCCTTTTTGCAATTAATTGCTGCATCACTTTATTAAAAGTGAAAAGAAAAAAAGAAGAAATTTAGGAAAAATTTCAGGAAAAGTTAAGCATTAAACATCCCCGGAAAAAATAAATTATAATTGAAAACTATATTTCTCCAATAAAAATAAAAATGAATAATGAATAAAAATGAATAAAAATAAAGCAAAGCAAAACCAAAAATAATATTATCGTTTTTAAAAAATAATTGCAAAAAAATAATAAATTTTCTTTAAAAAATAATTTAAAAAATAATAAATTTTCTTATTCGAGGAAAAATTCCGCAAATATTTTAATTAAAATAATAATTCATTAAGATTGACGAATGTCTCTCTAAAATAAGACATCGATTATAAGAAAAAATAATAAAAATTAGTAAAAATAATAATTGAAAAAAATGAAAGAAATTAGTACGAAATGGTTTTAGAGGCAAAGAACATATGCTAAAGTGGAAGAAAGCAAATATAAAAACTAAACACAATATGAGAAAAATTCACGAATCGAATTCAGTTAATTGTTTTTTTTTCGCTTTTGCTCATCCAAACAAATAAAAAATTTACAAATCAGATTTTAAATTTTCAATTTACATTTTAATTTAAATTTCTAAATTCCTAAAAATTTATAAAAATTTACAAAATTATAAAAATAATAATTTTTAAATATTTCAAAATTTTTAAAAATTACAAATTAAAAATTTTTTTTAAACAATAATTTACGAAAAAATGAAAGCGAAACGACTTTTGACTTTTTTAGCTTCAATGTTTATAGCTTCAAAATGAATTCTTCTCATCGCTTTCATCTGATTAAGTTTATTGGTTAGCATTCACTATACGTTTCTAGTTAATCCCTCCTTACTCCACGAGTTGTTAATAAATTAATGAGATTTTCGCCAAGTCACTTGGAAATAAAAATATAAGTGTGGACTTCGAGCATCACTCGAATAATAGATTTACTACTCATAAATTTAGTAGTAGAAACGATAATCCTAACAAAACCACTCGTCAATACCATTCTTAATAAGTAAATAAACAGTTTAATAATTAATAATAATAATAATAATAATAATAATAATAATAATAATAATAATAATAATAATAATAATAATGACGGTAAACAATAAATAACAATAAATAACCATTAAAAGAAAAAAATCAATGCAAATCAACAACAAATAAATATTGAAAAATGGATATTTTATAAAGTTTCTTTAAATTTGAAAAAAAAAAGAAATTTTTACAGAAAAATTTTAGTAGAAATATTCGGCTTCTTAAGAATAATTTTTATTCATTTAGAAAATTTTTTAACAAAAAATATTCAATATATTTATTAAAAATCCATTCTATTCCCTTAAATTCATTTAATCCAAAATTTCTTTTTTGTATAAGAGAAGAGATATAAAGCAAAAATATGGCACTACTAACAGAAGTCGAACCGATATTTCTACTCATCGAACTCATAGAATGAACTCATTAAATTCGTCGCTGAAAGCAAAAGCCTTTGAAGCCTTAAAAATCAAAAAAAAAGGGATCGAACTATTTTTAAAAAATAAACACAATCGATAAGGAACAATTATTATCAAACAAAGTGGTACCAGGCAAGCGATTGGCTGACAAGGCGCTCGATACTGATAAACAAGTCAGCTGAACAAGAATCGCCAAAGGACCAACAAAGTAGCTACAAGTAATATTTGAATGGATAAAAAAAGCTGCGAGAAGAGCCAAAGAAGAGCCAAAGAAAAAGCAAAAAAATGCGGGTCGACCTTAGTAACTTTTTTCTTGTAACCTTTTCATCGGTTGTTTTGGTGACGAATTAAACGAATGTGTAAGGAAAGTAAGGAATAATGACTGAGATGTTTTATATACTTTTATAATTTACCATCTTTTCTTCGCATCTCTAAAAATCCCGTCATATTTCCTTTATATTCCTTATAATTTAGTTGACTCGCCTCTCTCAGATCCACCAAATTCCTTCAATATCGCTTAAATTTCCTTTTATTATTTTAGCATTATTACAGTGCATTTTCTACTTATAACAATGCCATTCGGCTGGCTCTATTGGCTAAAACCTTTGGAGGAGGAAGTGCCAAGTCTTGCAACCCGCATCTGAAAGATATTAAAATTGTTTTATTTTTTCATTTAATTTTTTCTTCTATAGATGACTTATTATTTCTGCAAAGCACTTCCTCCTTCGCTTTTTACACCTGCTGTGAGGATATTAAGAGGTACTATGACGGGCTTCTATTTTGTCCTAAAATATTCTGTGAAAATGGAATAAATGAATACTTGAAGGTTTTAGAGGAGAACAGAGATATTTCTGAGTCCAAAATTGGTGGAATAGGATTCGCAAGAATATTAAACAATTGTCCATAGGATATTTAAACTTATTTTATAAATTTTTAAATTTAAACGGAGATATAAGAACCTTACTTAGAACCAATTCTAAAACCTTTTTTTCCTATTCACTTTTCCTATACTCCTTCAAGCCCTATTCCGATTACTCCAAAACCCCGTTGACTCTATTTGTCATTTTTTTCTCTACGAACCTAATCCTTTTCGCATTCCTTTAGTTACGTAATTATTTTTCTTTTCATCATTTTTTCTAACCATCAACCATCAACAAGATATATTTATTTTTTCTTATCATTCGTTGGCAGTGTTTGATTAAATGCAATTTAAAATTCAAAAATTCAGTACTATCTTTTTTTTTCATTTCTTACATTCGAATAATTGAACACTATTTGAAAATTAATTAGAACATGGGTGGTCCACATCTACTTACAATTAAACATTATAAAACAAAATAATAATTATTTTTATTTATTTCATCTATTATTATTTCTTATTATTATTGTTATTATTAAAATTATTAAAAGGAAATAAAATTACCGTTATTATTAAATAAAAGAAAGATTGATGAATTTATAATAAAGATTTATAATAAAAATTAATTTTTTTCTCATAAAGGCATTAAAATAAAAGTTAAAATGATAGTTGTGGGAAAAAGCCAATAAAATTATTTATTATTATTAAATAATTTAGTCGCTGTTGCGACAAATTTGAAAAAAAATATTTTAAAAAAAATATTTTTTTAAATTTACAAATATTTTTAATGTTTGTTAAATTTCTAAAAAAAAAACTTCCATAAAATTATAAATCAATTTTATCGCAAAAACAAATCATGAAAAAATTAGCTAAAATAAACGATTTATGATCAATAAAAATAGAAATGAAAAAAGTGGCAAATAATTTATTGGGTGATTTAGAAGATTGAAAATTGAATAATATTACGAATTTTTGTCCGATAAATTGAAACAGATATATAATATTTAAATATATATTTATTATTATATTTTTGAATTGCAAATTATTTAAATTAATCATCCATAAATTTATTTTTAATGAAATCCAGTGTCTTAGCTGATTTATATGCCAGACGATATATTGATAATTACATCGAAAATCAGACTCAAGATCGATATATAAATAGGATAAAAGTCATTTCCTCTTTCATACCAGGCATTTATCAATTCATCTCGTACTGAAGAAATGCCAAACTTGTGTCAGCTAATATTATACTAAATAGCCAAGAGAATATTGATTACTGGTGATCACTTTTGCATAGGAAAGATTTTAAGTGCTCGATTGGCTAAAATCTCATATAATTTCATCCACTTCGCTTATCTGTATTAAAAATAATCGTCCATCCGAGGAACTAATATTTACTTGCTAAACCCTTTGTCAGCCAAATGTGAGAAGGATCAATAAAGATCTGGATGATAGAGTGAGAAGATAATATATAGGAGTAACGATATATGGGCTTAAAGGATGAAGAAAGGACTGACTACTCTCAAATTTGGCATGGGATTGAGAGGCTTGGAAACGTTTTATCCTTGTAACTAGAGAAATCAATGCAACCCAATATGATGTGGACGATTAGAAGCAGAATAGAAAACCTTACAAAATAAAACTATTTACTAAAAATAATAAAAACTATTTAGTAATTATTATAATAATTTCTTTCATAGAATCACACGATTACATCAATATAATTCTTAGTTTAGTTGGTTATATTTAAAAAAAAAGATCACTAGAAAACATTTTTATATTAAATTAACTTTTATATTGAATAAATTAAATGTATTAAAAATATCAAATTTTCATCTTTTTATCAAATAATTTGTATTTAAATAAAAGCAAATATCAGCCAATTTTTAAATTAGAAGCAAAGCCGAATTGTGTCAAAAGCAAAAAAAAAAAGAAAATAAAAATTCATTGCAAGTGTTGAAATGTTATTCAAGAATGAAAAAATTTTCTAAAAAAAAAACAAACTTTTAGAAGGTGATTGAGACGTGCAAGTGCTTCAATAAAAAAATCACCGCCCTTATTCATAAATTCATATCGTCCAGCGGTGAATATGTAGATTGTTTTGTTCAAATCGAAATCGTAATGCCTTTAACGATATTTAATAATTTATTAAAGTTTTTTAAAAACATAATTGTAATTATAAATCTTTTTTTTGAAATTTAATAATTTTTGCATAATTTTTGAAAATATTTTTACAAAATCAAAGATAAATTTTTAAAATTTTGAATGGAACTTGAAAAAAAAACAAACCCATAGAAATGCCCACGAATAAAATCATTTATTTTCTCTTTGGAAATTTGATGAAGATTTTGAAATTCATGTAAAGCGGCAAATTTGATAACATTCAAGCCATTTGGTGTTATTATGTCAGGTTCTCGTTTTAATAAATGTTTCGCTTCGTGCCCTGTTATCGCGCTAAACATTATTCATTAAAATTGAAAGAAAAAAAAAGACGTATTAGAACGTATTAAAGATGTATTAGACGTATTAGAAGTGAATGAAAATCCCTTAAAAAAATATTGAAGTCCAAATAAAAAACCACAAGAAAAATTAATCAAAAAAAAAAATAAGAAAAGTGAGAAAAGTGAGAAAAGTAACCTAACGGTTGTGAAAATATGAGCCATATTAACTGCGGCACGTTCAATACAATATCGGTGGTATATTTGTCTATCACCAGCTTCTTTATCAAGATCAAACTGAATTATTTCATACTGAATTATGATTTTCAATAAATTTAAAAAAATTTAATTTAGTAAAACAGTAGAAGGTTCGTTAAAAAGTTTCGCTTTCTAAATAGGAAAATGACGAATATTATTTAATAAAAGTGAAAAAATTTGAATAGGTTCGCTAAATTATTCTTCAATAAAAAATAAAAAATGAGAAGAAAAAATTACCTGTTGAATATTGTTATATAAATCAGCACCAGAAGCACTAAGGTAGCGTCCGAGTAATGTTGCATGTGTTGTGAAAATCGTTGAAACATTGGTTTTCCACAGTCTATAGCCAAAAATTTGCAGAAAAACATAAATATTATTAATAGATGCCAGAAATTATCTAAATAAAATAATGAAATAAAAAACCTGGATAAAATGAGCCCGATACCTGCTTGCCATTCATGAAAATGAGCTATTACAAGAGGTGCATGAGCAACAATTGAATTTACATACTGAAATATCCTAAATTATACGAATAAAATTTTAATAAAATTTTAGGTAAAATTAAATTAAAATTTTAATTCGAATTTTAATAAATGATTTATTAATAAAGTCAACTAAAACTACATTAATTAAAATTAATTCTTAAATGAATAGAAAATATTATACAAGAATTTGAACAAATAAAACGTAAAAATAAAAATAAACGTGAAATACCTTTTGGATGAAAATAGCAACCATGAAACCGAGAATAACAGCATCATTCGATTCTCTATCGTGCCATGGTATTCCAATTTTACATGATTCCCAAAGCTGAATGATAATATTGAAAATTTAAATAGAAATAAATTTGAGAAATTCCAACCAAAAAATCTTTTTTTCTAAGTGGAATTTTTCCAGTGGAAAAATAACTAAAGAATGATAATAAATTAACATAAAACCGTATGAATTACTTCATATTTCCACTGATCTAACTTCCAAGCAGCCGATCCAATGTCGAAAAGCACAACGTTCGGATAACCATCAATCAACCATCTACCATAATAAACCTCAAATAATTAAAGCAATAAAAGATATGACCTATTCCACGTACCAATATTCGCTAATCAAAACTAAAATTATCCAAAAACAAAATATTTCAATAAGAAATTGTAGTTTCTCAAAATATGAGATTAATTGATAAACTCGCTTGAAAATTAATAAAATTTGGTTAAACCATTAGTAATCAAAATTACTTTGATAAAGTTCAATATTGGAGCATTGAGTTATTCAATTATTTTTGTTCAAATCATTAATCATTATTGGAAAATCACTATTGAAATTTTTATTAAATTTCTAAATTTTTATTAAATGTTATTCATTATTAATATAATTATTCAATACTATCCAGATTATTTTTAAAAAAAATTTATGCACCTTAAAGCCAATTTCTTCCATTTGTTCGAGAGCATATTTTATTTGAGCTGAATTCGCTTCTAATAATTCAACCTGAAATACTTATACAAAGAACTACCATAGTTATCGTAAATTTATTTATTTATTACACTAATGAAAAATGCGAAAGAGAAACCTCCAGTTTAACTCGCTGTTCACAGTACGGACCTAACATAAAATATTGATCACCAAATTCTTCAGTTGTTATAACTGCTTTTGTTCTTAATACTGTATAAATTCCACCAACTAAAATTCACAAGTAAAAAAAAATTCTTTTTTTAGCAATATTTTTTTTTGAAAACCATTTCTTACCTGGAGAAATTATAGAAAACAACCGCTAAGATTTTATTTATAAATTAATTTTTAATTATTAAATCACTATTAATTATTAAATTGGAAAGAATTTTGGAAATAACCTTTATTAGCAACTTCCCACGAACATTCGAAAACAGTTCGACCTTCTTTTTGTGCTGTTATACCGTGATCAAAAACGTGTTCGTCGTTTAATGTTAGATCCTACAAGAATTTATTTTAAAAAATATATAATATACAATTTTATGACACAAAATAAAATTCCAGTAATTGAATCGTACAGTCGATAGTTTCAGTTTAAAGTAATATGGATTCGATTTCTATCTTGTTGAAAGCATCATTAAAAATTTCGAGTGGTACTAGTGGAACTCTCATATGCTTTCTCTAAGGACACTATCATCACTGAGTAAATTCCAATAGCCAGTGAAGCCAAAAAAATTAGAAATTTTGCAGTCTATTAGGAAAAAAATAAAAGTAAATTGAAATTAAATCTTTCTTTTCTTAATTCGCATCGCTAATAGCCAAAAAAATAAAAGTAATAAAACGAAAATAAATCTTACATAGATTTGTTTAGCAATTTTACTTGCTGAAATTCCTCGAGTTAATGTTCGTTTTGGTGAATCACTTAAAGTTGACATTCTCCTTCGTCAATTACACTAAAACAAACAAATAAATAATATTAAATTGGAAACAAATATTTTATTTAACGAAACACTTTTCGCATTTCAACAATAATCATCAATCAACAACAGAAGAAATGTGCATGCAACAAGATAAACTTCCACTATCTTTATCACCTTTATCACCAATTTATCTGCTATTATAAAATCCAATAAATGAAAACGAAAGAGTGAACGGTTTCGATGAAATTCCTATCTTTAGAGATTCTAGGAGATTTTCTTTTTTAATATATTATTAATTCCTTATAAAAATAAAAATATAAAATTGTTAACTTCCTTTTTCAAAATTTAAAAAAATGAAAGGAAATAAATTAATAATTTTAAGAAAAAGAAAAATAATTATTCTTCTTCGAAGAACAACTGATAAACTTCAAAATTATCGATTTTCTTTTTTTTTTTTAAAATATCAAAATATATTCAAATTATTACATAGAAAAATGTTTAAAAAAAACAATTTCGTCAATTTCGAATTTTTAAATTTTTCTTATGAAAATAAGAAATTATTTTAAAAATAATTTAATTTAAAAAATGATTTAAACTATGATTTTTAAAAGAAATCGATAAAATACAATAAAAGAAATACTATTTATTATTTATAAAAGAAATAATAAAAAGAAAGATATTAAAGATATTACCTGATGGAATTTCTTTTCCTTCAAACAGCACTCAGCATTTATCATTGCTATTAATTTTATTGGCTCTACTGGCTAATTGGAAAATTCCATGAAATTTATTTAAAATATCTAATTTCCAATGATTTTAAAAGTGGAAAAATGGAAAAACAATAAACATACAACAATGATTTTCTTTCACTATCGTTTCTATCCCAATTTTCTGCATAAATTTGCCAAAGTTAGCGGCGAGCATAATGCAGTTCGAGCGAAGCAAAGCAACCATTCATTAAAAGTGAAATCCAACTCGATGAATCTCTCTCTCTCTGGAATAGCAAATAAGAAAAATTACTTCCAAAATAACAAAATAACAGTCTAAATCGAGAATTCTTTTTCAAATAATTTTTATTTAGTAAAATTTTAAACTTTATTTGTGAATTTTAAACTTCGTTTCAAGTTTGTGTAATTTCGAATCAACAATAATAAATTGTAAGAATTTGCAATTTGATTGATGTTATGACGGAATTGTTATTTTTCATTAGTACAATTGCACAAATTTTTGGTCGAAATTTCACTAAAGTACTATTGCGTAAAATCTTTTTTTTTTCTTTTGTTAAATTCCTCATTTCATAAAAATTTAATTTTTCCTTTGTTTCTAATCTTTTATAAGATATTTTCCTCGTTTATTATCGTGGTACCATTTATAATTTTATCTTTTGCTCATTGATATTTCAATTTAAACGTTTCTACATAAAGGCGAAAACTTATTTCATCTTTATTCGATTCACCGAGGTATTTTTTAAATAAAATATTTCAAAAAGCGACAAACAGTTGTTGAAGTGAAGAGGGAAAAATCTAACACTTTTTTTATTACTAATACAGATGAACCTAAAAACGACGAATCATATCAATTAATTATTTTAATCATTGATTAATACGAAATGGATTGAATTAGCAGTATTTAATAGTTTGTTAGAAAAAAATTTAAGAAAAATATAACATGATCCATTTTCCTCTTCTTTTAACAGCTGACTTGATTGATCATTAAGTAAAGTGAGATTTTCTTGACAAAGAGCCACTGGAATGTGGAGGCGTACATACTCGACTAGGAATCATACAAAATTATACAAATTATACGTTTGACAATACTCATGTTCGATCTTGTACGAAGTTCTCTCAAAAGTGAATTTTGTAAAAAAATAGTAAAAAGATATAACTGCTACAAAAATTTGTATATATATATATATATATATGAAAAATAATCGAAATTCAACTAAATGAGCAAAACGAAAATTTTTGGGAATTTATTGGGAATTGGGAAAAGAAAAAAAAAATCTAACCTCTAAATTTAACCTTTAAATACGTTGAGATTTACGATGCATAAGGCAAAAACTTCAAAAAATGAAAAATGCAAATTAATCCTAAAAAGGAACATTAACATTTTGTTAGATATATGGAAAAATGCTTGATCCGATCTTTTCGAACTACACTCGACCTTTAGTTCGGAATCAATTTATAGAATAAGAAGAAGACAAAGAGTTTCCTCATGCTGAGAATTTGTCTCTTGAGAAGAGAAAACAAGATGAAAACCGAATGAAGATCCACCTGAACCTTCCTAACTCTTTCTATTTCCAAGTGATTCTGTAGCGAAACGATCATTTAGGCAGATCACCATAATAGTTGTGTCCACTAAATTTATTTTAAATAAAATGTAAATATTTGTCAATTAATCCGATAAAAGCCAAGGAGTTAGATAATTGATTCTCAATGCTACATTCTTGACTCGTTTTCAAATAACGGAATTTTCAATAATTCTCTTTCCTTGTATTACAGTTGTATTACAGTTGTTTTCTAAAATATTTTATAATCGTTATTTTTATATTTTCTTATCAAATGTATTTCAAGAATATTTTCAGAATATATAATATTTAAAAATATTTATTTGTATACGATACGCGACGAAATACGAAGGGCATTATCATCACTGGTGTTAATATTATCATATTATCACCAATGGAATTTTTAAATTTAAAATGTTTAAAATGTTTAAAAAATTTGAAAAGTTTTCAGATTTGATAAAAACTTCTTAAAAGCTATATGATCTTTAATAATAAAATTCCATTGAAAATTGGAAAAAACCTTTTTTAAAATAAATATTAATGTAAAATATTATTAAATATTTAAAATAATATTTATTTTATACTTATTTACTTATTCTTTAAATTTTAATTTTAATAATAAGCAAAAAAACTTTTTTCTTTTACTTTTTTTTTAAATCGAAAATTGTTCGAATTAAAAATTTAAATGAAAAGCAAAAAACCAATTTTAGTCGAATAAATGTAAATAATTTAATAAATAAATAAATATAAAAATTAAATCGATGAACGAACATACAAAAATAATTTTCAGCTGAACAAATATAAAAATAATTTCGAAATAATCGGAATAAAATGATAAAAATGAATAACCACCATGTGTTTCCTTTAGGCCATAAATCTGGAAGTAGTCTCAACAATCAACAATCAACCTTATCAGCAATTAATTATGAAGGATAAATGAAGAATGGGATGATGAGAAACTGATTGATAAAGCACTTTTCAATATCTCAGAGAGATGCGCCCCAGGGGCTTATTGGTAATATTCAACAGAGAGATTCAAATAACGAGACGATAAGAAAAACAAAAGAAAGCTGATCCAATACACCACAAAGAGGATAAAAAGTGCTAGTTCATGCCTCAACGAAGCGAAAAACCAAGCAAACATACGCGGTCCAGCGGTGAAAACTGACCTCTAGTGAACTCCAAATTTATTTAAACAATTTTTTTTAAAAAATCTAAATTTTCTCAATTTTTAAAAAATAATTACTAATATTGAAATCATAAAATCGTTCCAAGACCAGAGCATTTGAAAAGTGTGAAAATTGTATTTTATCAAATTTCATTTTGCATGTTTCAAAATTAAAGAAAAAGAAGAAGAAATTTGAAAAATTGAAAAAAATTTATAAAAATAAATATAAAAATAAAAAATTAAATACAAGTATTTAACAAATGCTTATAAAATTGATCGTTTGTGCTAAATAATTTTTTTTCCATTTTTTTAAATTTTTCATTTTAAATTCATTTTTGAAGCACTTAAAACTGTGAAGAAAAATTTGATTTAGGTCGTAAAAATTTTAAATAAACGGTGACAAAAATAATTTTACATAAATTTATATATATATATTTATTTATTTATTTATATTTTAATATAAGATAAACATAAATATTGGATGCCGCGAAACGGCGAAAGCAAAAAGGCTACTTTTGGCTTGCATCCATTCTTTTGGACTTCGCTGAAGTGGCTTTTGTCGCCTTTACTGGACCATTCATCATTTTTCAAATCTTTCCATGCTCCATTGGCCTTTTCGCATTCTTTATGAGTGCCGTCGTCTTATTATAAAATGCTTCGCTATTTGGCGTCCCACTAAATCTCGATGCACTCGCTTCGTTAAGAATGAAAATGCCTTATCAAAGCTCCTCTTTGCTCCTTAAATAATCGATATTTGATTTATTGATAAGGCAAACTGCTATTGCGAATCCATTTTCCATTTTTATAATCCCATTTTAGCCGTTTTGCTTTCGCAGTTTGGCGACGATAAGATTATTAAATAAATTAAAAACTGTTTTTAAAACCAAATAAAAAACATCGATTGGAAAATTTTTTACCATAAATTTCATTTCTTTATTTCTTAAATGCTAAAAATTATTTTATACTTCTTCTTTCACACATCTCTCACCATTACTGGTTAAACGGGGCGGTGTGATGCCATCGTCGACAGTAATGGAAGCCATTCTTTTTTCCATCGTCTAAGTCCATATATTGCTGGTCCACCTATACGTTCAAAATCTTTTCTCACCGTATCAGTCCAGGTCTTGATTGGCCCACCTCGCTTTTGACGCCAACGGTTGGCAACGTTTAGCAAATAACATTTAGCAAATAACGAAATATGCTTCAACTCCTGTGGTGGACGACGAAGAATGTGCCCTAATCAGCGAAGGCGGCACTCTGTGACAATATTATTTATGCAAGTGGTACTTGGACGAAGATGGATGCGATCATGTGATATCTTATCCGCTCGTCGGATCCTTAATATGAACCTTAGACAAGAGTGGTCGAAGGCAGATAACTTCTTAAAATCCTCCACTCTCATTGGCCATGTCTCAGAACCATATACCAAGATGGAACGAATCACGACTATATAGATGCGGATTTTCGTTTTTATGGTGATTTCACGACGATTCCATAAAGGTTTCGTCAACCGGAAGAACGCATTTCTAGCTGCCGTGATCCGAGTTATAATATCATCCTTTACCTGGCCATTTGGTATTAGAGTGGACCCAAGGTATTTGAAATCAGGCACTTTCTCAATCGGCAATGAATTTACAAAAAGAGGCGTTTTATCAGCTTTTTGCACATAAGACGAAACGACTTTCGTTTTATTTACATTGATCTTCAATCCGATTCTTGCTGCAGTTTCTGACACGTTATTTAGTATTATTTAGTATTGCATTTTGTTATAACTGTGAACAAAAAGGACTATCGTATTCAAGATCTGTGATACGATGCTCTGGACTAATTCGGACACCTCTTGAGTGCCGAGAAGCAGTCCATTATCCAGTCTATCGCATAGTTGAATATTGTGGGGGAAAGGACGCAGCCCTGACGGACACCTGTTCTTATTTCGAAGGAATCTGTAAGCTCCCCATATACATAGACCTGCTCATAAAATGCCTTTATGAATCTAATGATTTTCTCTGGAACACCATCACGTTCTATCACTCTCCAAAGCGCCGCTCTATCAATTGAATCAAAGGCAGCCGCAAAGTCGATGAAACACGTGACAGTGGTTTGCAAATATTTGAAGCGATGTTCCAACACCCTTCTTAACGTGAATATCTGGTCAGCACAAACGCACTCTGGTCTGAAACCAGCTTGATTATGGCGCATCCTGCTGTCCCATAAGTCTGTTGATTAGCAGGGAAGCAAAAATTTTCGCTAAGACGTCTAATAGGCTGATTACTCGATAAATGTTGCAGTATGTCCTATCATCTTTCTTGAGAATTAGGAGTAGAATTGCTTTGCTCCAATCATCTGGGAATATTTCTTTTTTTCATAGTAGAGAGTACCTTTGTTGAAGGTGCGTTATGAAGGACGATGGACAACATTTGAAAAGCTCAGCCCGAAGACCATCTTCTCCTGATGTTTTGTCGGCCTTAAGCTTATGGATAACTGAAATTATTTCTTCATCTGTTGGAGTTGCAAGCAAAAGATTCAGCGAACGTATCAATTATATCAGGGGCAACAGATGGCGCTTCATGGTTAAGTTTGGCCTCAAAGAATTCTTTCCATCTTATGAGGCGATCCTTAATACTTTTGATTAATACACCATTGCTATCTTTTACCATTTCACATCGTTCCCGAGTCATAGTTGCTTTAAATTATTAAAAATTATTTTATTCAAAATTTATTTATTATTTAAAATAAAATAAAATCTTTAAAATTCTCATTTTTAATAGTTAATTTTGTGAATTTTATCATTTTTTTTACGAAAATTTTCATTAAATTTTCCATTTTACTTCGATATATTCGCCTTTTGAAAAAAAAAAATTTTTTTTTTAGGGATTCTGAATTATTTCCATAATAAAAATGAGAAAATCTAATGTTTTGCGATTTGGAATCTTTGATTTGTTATAATTATTTCTCTTCTTCCAATAGTTCCAAAATAGGTGAATCGCGAGTGTCACTCGTCCGTTCGTATTTTTAACGGACAATTTTCCATGAATAAGAGCAATAAACCTGTCGGCCGTGGAACTTCGGCATCGTCGCACCAAAACTGAACAACCTGCCCAATGAGAATAGAACGTTTCCAGCACTTCTATTAACACAATTTATGATTCCATGATTCATATCGTATTCGTTGAATCAATGTATTCAATGCATTCTCATAATTTGCCAGTCTAAATACGCGTTTACTGCTTCGATATGTTCCCGCAGCTAATCAATAAGAATTTTTTAATAATAGTGATTTTTGATGCCATTCGCATGGCATAATCCTTCGGGTGTTGGGTGTTCTATCGTGGAGTGCGGAGTGTTATTTTGCGAAGCGCTTATTGGGTGTCGGGTGTTGGGTGTCATTTATTAAAAGTGTGTCAAATCGTTTTTACATATACTAAATTTTCTGAGAATTATTCACATTCGCTCGTTTTCAAATACGTTTTTAATAGAATTTCATTAAATTTTAATTATTTTTTACAAAAATTAATTTATTTTTATTCTAATAAAACTTTAAAATTAGAGAAAAAAATCAAAAAAAAAAACGAATGAATCTCAATTTCGCGGAAATTTTCTCATTTCCAATTCGCTTATCCGGTCAGCATTCAATGAATGCGAAAGAATTATGCGATTTTGACGATTTGGCGAATTCGATTGTTGTCGATTCGTTTCTCGGCTTCAAAACGCATAAAATGAATTTAAAGTTAGTTAGTTTAGTTTAGTTTTTGTTTACGTTTGTTTTATTATCGTTGTTGTTGTTTTTTATAAATTCTAAATAAATAAATATTTTAAAAAATAAATATATTTCTTTTATGAATATTTTTTACTTTTATTTGCAATTTTTTTATTTTCTTTATTTTTATTTTTGTTTTTTATTTGTATTTTTTTTAAATAGGATTTTTAAATAGGATATTTTTTATTATTAAAATATTTTTTAAAATTTAATACAATTTAATTTAATTTAATTTAATATTAAATTTTTAAATTTTTTAAAATTCTTTTAATTTTTTTCATTTTTTCTAAATATTTAAAAAAATAAAATTTCAATATTTAATGCATTAATGCATTAAATATTGAAAATATTGAAAATACTGAAAATAAAATTGAATTGCTTGAAACTGCAAATTTCTTATTGCTTTAACTATTTTTTTTTTATTTTTATCTATTTTGCTTAATTATTCATTATTATTCATCATTAATAGCCTTCGAGAAATTTTAGACGACTACATTTGTTAAGCTGCGTTTTAGTTATGTTCGCGGCTGGTAAAAGTAAAAGTAATGCATTTTAAAGTAAAAATGCTTTATAAGCTGCCGGTTATTTGCAACAGTTTTGATTAGTTTTTAATGATTACTAATGATAATTAATGATTTAAAGTTAACAATGTTTTCTTTTTATCAAATTTTTGAAAGTAAAAATTAAAGTAAAATGAAATTAAAAATGCAGAGTATTGAAATATTAAAAATAAATATTAAATATTAAACTAAATATTAAATATTAAAATATTAAAACAAAAAATAGTGGTTTAATTTAGCTAAAAAAATTTTTCATTTTCAGTTATCGAGAGCCGTCGAACAGCGATAAATTATTATTTAAAGGAATTATTAAAAGATATATAAATGACGAAGATCGAGTTGTAGCGTTCGAGGAGATTTTGAAAGTTCGCTATGTTCGCAATTCTCTCGCAACGCAAACGATACGCCAATTAATTAATTTTCGAGATCATGTTAGTGTGTTTTTTCTTTCTTTTTCCGTCTATATATTAGATATTATTAATATTATTATTTATATTATTATTATTTATTTAAATATTAATAATAACATTATTATTTAATATTTATATATATATATATTGTTTGTAAATATTATTATTTATAAATATATAAATATATTATACTTATATATATATATATAAGTATATTATACTTATACTTATATATATATGTATATTATTTTTAAATATTATTATAATGTATTACTTATTATTTATTATAAATATTATTCTGGATATTATTTATTATAAATAATATTTTATTTATTTATAAATTATAATTAATAAAAATAAATAATGATATTTTGATATTTAATATTTCGTTTTTTTGTCACTAATTAGATTTTTTTAGCTGTTACGTTTTTTGTTGATGTTTTCTCCATCATCTGGCTTCACAATTCGTCCATGTACTCGATATACAGCTGAAAAAAATCGTGGTGCTAAACTTGTTGTTACAAGACCATGGTTCTTTTTATATTCTAATTATTTCATTTCTTTTAAAATCACTTTTTTTATTAAATATCTTTTCGAATATTCGAAAACATTAAATATCACTTTGTGTGTTTGAGATTTATAACAATAAATTTAAGAGAATATTTACTTAATACAATAATTTTTATGAAGGATTGGAAAATTTGTATCATTGATTTTAATAAATTTTCTAAGAATTTTGAAGAACTTTATAAGAAATTTATTCCAAGCTTTACCAAATTTTTTTTTTCATTTAGGGAAAAGGGTGCTTTTCTGACAAGTTTGGTTGGAATAATTGGTGATTTAAGTGAAGAAGAGACTAATTCACTTTTAAAGAAAGATGTCAATGATTTTTCAGTGATGTATAGTACAAGGTTTGCAGAAATTTTTTAAATTCAATTCATCAATTTAGCATTTTTGTGTTTGTTTAATATAAATGTTGCTCAGTTAAAGTTTAATCCTTTTATTCTGAGGTAAACCCATTGGTCTTAAATTATATAGGAAACAAAGAGATCAGCTATGGCTTGGACCTGGTGCATATATTAATCACGATTGTCAGCCCAGCTGTAAATTTGTGCCAAAAAAGCATACAGTTCAATTACAGGTTTGTTGTTTTCTGCCGCCAGTCCTTATTGCCATTAAAGACTAAATGCCTCAATCTATGAAAATATGAAAGGAGATGCTCATAGTTAACTGAAAAAAATTAATCCTAAATTATTATTTTTATTATAATTCTCATGTAAATTTAGGTTCTTCGAGACATGGAAACTGGTGAGGAAATAACATGTTATTATGGTGTTGATTTTTTTGGCGATAATAATGAGCGTTGCGAATGTCTTACTTGTGAACGGTAAGTAAATAAACTTACTAATGAGTCAAAGCCGAATTAGAATTTGTTGTATTTTGTTTTCTTTTATTCTTTATAAGTCATTCAGTCTTCGCTCTAAAAAAAAGTTTTCTTTCATCTTACCAAATTCTTATTAAGCTTTTAATGAATAAATTTATTCAATTATTCAAAATGTTTAATGGAAGATATTGAATATTGAAAAATATTGAAAAATATTGAAAAAGTTATAGTCGCTTTAACTATCGATCGAACTTTTAGGCTCGGTAGAGGAGCTTTCAAAATGATAGAAAAAAAAATTTCGTTGGATTCTTCGATCAGCGTTTGTCCATCTCGATACCGTTTGAGAGAGACTTGTTCAAGACTGGAGCGTAATGGTAATAGCATCTCTTTGAGGCAAAATGTTTACTTAAGACAAGGTGATCAAATCGATCGGTGCAATAAAACAAATGGTTATGATTTTTTGGTGATTAAATAATAAATCAGCTTTGTAAAAAATATTTTGGGATTTTTATTGATTTTTATTGATTCTGATTAGATTTTCATTTTAATGTTAATCTTAGTATTAAAGTTTATTTCAGATTCAGAAAAATATTCGGGAGCTGTACATTGCAATAAAACGAAAAGTCGTTTGAATTCTGTTTACGAATCCAGTCATGAACCTAATTCTTCTCCTAGTCTTATATCGAAAAAATCGACAAAACGAACTAATCGCGTAAAATACTCATCTCATCGATATAAAAAGATTGCACAAAAGAATACATTTTCTATTCCACAAGTATTTGATTCTTCTCAAGGAATTGTGAAAAGTAATTCAGATCAATCTTTAGTATCGAATCCATCATCTTCGACTCTATGTACTTTCTTTGATGTCGAATCCCTATCAGCTGAAGAAGATGAATTTTTACTGACTGATTCGATACTACCAACAGAATCAAATTCAGTTGATATCGAAGAAGGCGGTAGTAGTTGTTCTGCATTTAGCGAAAACCATAATAAAAGCAGTGAAGATACAGATTTGAATTTAATGTTTTTAAATGGGCAGCTTTCATCTCCAGAAATACCTCTTTTTAAACCTTGTATTCGATGTGAAATAGCTTACCAGTTGTAGTAATGATTTTTTCTGGTAAATGTTCGGAGGTTAAATTGCTTTCAACGGATACGATATGCAAATGCTTCTAATACCATAAATCGTTTCTGGTCTGGACAGCTGTTGAAGGACTCCTATCGCCAAAGCGTCACATAACGATAAAGGTGCAAGCACAGCTACTTATATTTTATCTCAATTTTTGATGCCAGGTTCTTTTCCTGCCAAGAAGCAAGAATTATTTCCTGTCTTCAGCAACATTGGGCCTAACCATCATGCAATCAGAAGGTCGCTACATTGTTTAGTTTTCATTTTTCCTCAGGGAATCAACTTCCTTAAATTAAATTAACTTTAAGTTCGTTGTAATTACATCACTCATGAAATTATTGGTTGCGCACGAGAAAATTAAATTTATATTCATCTCGCAATACAAATGGAGTTTAAAAATATATATAAAATAAAGAAACTGCTAGTACGATTTGACGATTTTAATTAAGAATTATGTTTCATATTTAAATTTGATCGTTTCTCGTATGCAATTGATTCAAGGAAATTGGGAAATTGCAAGTCGTGGAACTACTATCCTCCATAGGATTTAATTTAGGATAAAATTATAGGCAACGAGCGATTGCTGAAATTTTATTTAGGTTAAGTTTGTTATTTATGCCGAATTTGTACGTTTTTGCATTTTACATTTGATAGACTTTGCCGAATTTGATAGAATTTTCAAAGAATTTCTTAATAATTTTAAAAATTTGTAAAAATATTGTATCAATTTTACGTTTCAATAATGTTTATTCATTTTTTATTCATTTGTTTTTTATTTTTGTTTGTAAATTTTCCATTAATTCTTACATTTCCATTTGAAATATTTTTTTTCTGTTCGCTATTATTATTATTCGTTATTTGTTGTATTATAACTCGTTTTTCTATTCAAATTTGGAAATATTTATGTGCCTCTTGTCAACTATTTTTTTAAAGCTCTTTCTCCAATTATTATTTTATTTACGATTTGCACATAATACTCGTCGTGGATTAATCCTATTTATAACTATTGATTATAAGTTGGAAATATTAGAAGAAGCTCAATTATATGTACGCACCTGCCTTTTTTCAGTAAGTCTCAAACTCAAACAATTCTTTCATATTTACAATAAATCTCACGCTTATTTGTCATGTTTTAATGAATAATTGTTTTATTTTTAATTTGTTTGAATTAGTATGCAATTTTCTTTATCAGTTTTCAGGTCTTTCGATTAGGCTGCAAATTTTTTATTAAAATGGAAAATGAAAATGAAGATTATTTATTTCATTTGTGATATATGATAAGCGACGTTGATAATGTTTTTTATTTTATATTACATTATTGGCTTATATAACAATAAATCAAATGATATAATAAAACCGAAAAAATAAATAACAAATACTAGAAATAATTTTCTCAAAACTTCCCACATCTTTTAACTATCACCAATCACTAAAAAAATTTTTATTAATTCATTAATAAAACCTAAAAAAAAATTAAAAATAGGGAAATCGGCGGTGATAAAACGTCATTACGAAAGAATGTCTTGGCAGCATTCAGTGATACCAATGACCAAGAAATAAGAAATAAGAACTTATTTTTTAAACTTTTAGAAATTATTAGATGACAAAGATGACGACTAGTAAAGCATCATACATTTGATATTAACTGATAAGAAAATTAAAAATTACAAAACAAATAGCCTGAGATCGCTGGCAACAAAAAAAAAAGAGAAACTCATCACAATGCGCCCACGAGTGAAACGAAATAAAATAATTTTTTTAAAAAATCAACTGGGACCCATAAAAAAATGTGATCGCAGACCACATATACTCACTTTTGCAATTCTATAAGAGAAGTGTTGGACATCGATTCTTTTAACTTTATAAGTCAAGAGTATTATAATTCCATGCATAAATACAAAATTCTATATTTTTCTTACTAATATTTGCTAAAATATTAATATTATTCATTTTAAAGACAATTTCAAAATAAGTACCAAAAGGTGGGAACAAAAATATTTAACAAAATTTAACTCAAAAGAGCAAAAAAATTCAGTGATAAAATGAGAAAACACTGATAACAAAAAAGCAACCCGATATACCACATTTGAATTTGAACAATACCAATGGACAATGGTCATTTATTTAGACTAAATCATTTTTCACATTCCGTGGCAAAGATTTCAAACGACTCGTTGAATGTTTTACATTAAAGGAATCACCTAAAATACATCATATTAAGACAAAAATCAAAAGTTTCATCACGAAAAAGGAGGGAAATCAATCACTAGTGGCAATAAAAGTCTTACAAGCATTTTGCGATAGCGTTGATGCACTTATTCCCATACAGGGTTGGGAGGGCCGATTTGGGGTACTTTCGGGATTTTGCGATACGTCTATTCTCCTATTTATCGTACAATCTTCATCACGTTCCCAACTTTCCTCACCAGCTTCCGATGACGATAATGTCTCTGTCCGACCATTTCCATCAAGCATTAATGATGAACGTTGACTATCGTCATCCTCCTGTCCTCCACCATAACCGGTTGGACCCAATCGATAACCTTAACCAGAAAAAAACTTAGGTGCAATAAGTCGTTCATCACCATACTATGCTACTAATGGGCAAGAATGTTTAGGGAAATTTACTAAAGAAAATGCTCTACATACTTATTTTTGATTTACCATTAAGTCTATTGTTTGGCACATGCGAAGAAGTATAGCGAGAATTTCGATCAAACAACAATGCATCAGATACAGCATCGTAATGCTCTGAATCCACCAATCGACAATTAACTGACTCATTGACTCCCCTCGTTACCTAAAATTTGACAAATTAACAATTTTTATCAAGAAACGTACTATATTTTTATTTTACTTAAGAAACTGATATCATATTATTTATTACGCTTACTTTATTACTGGTATTATCTGAAGGAAGCGAAGAAGGTGGAGGAGGTAGGATTTCTAAAAGGGTTTCTTTTGGAGTCTGCCTTCGCTCCTTTCCCACTGTTGTTTTATTTTGACCATTAGAGCTTCCTGAAAGAATTATAAAAAAACAATAATATAATTTCAGCAATGACTTTACAAAAAGTTTCGCATACCTCCAGTGCCATCAGAAGATGACTGAACATATGATACGTCGGTATGTGGTGGGCTTGTCGATTGATGAATACATTCGTTCTTTTTTGTTTTGATGACTGAAGGCGAATGAGCCGAAGCAAAATGTTCATTTTTTGTTTGCATAGTAAAGTCCTGAAATCTGGGTGGAGGACCAGAAGGCACCGGAATCGATGGCAATGCAGGACAGCGTAACATATGATCTTTTAACCAATTCTGGCGATTATTCATCACCAATGTTGTTGTTGCATAAGGTGATGGGTCATCCTAAAAATATAGAGAGTAATTCTTCAGGCCCACATTCACTTTTAAAGAATAAAAGGAAACTGCGAACTAAAAGGCAAAAACTGAACTAACGCACCATATGCTGACGACCACCATAAAATGTAGAAATAGCTGGTGGTGAAGGACCATTAGATAATGCCGCATAATGATAGTGATGTGGTGACTGAGAACGATCAATTGTTCCAAGTAAATTTGAAGGATAATGCCTATCTGGCAATTGGCCATCTGAACAAAAATCTCCCTGATGTGGAGTTTTAGTATAAACAGGTGGACCGGAATAATTTGCACCATTTATTGAGCTATTCAATAGCAGAGATCGCTGAGCCGACATCAAATTACTGTGATCCATCCAAAGCGCATCTCTTGATGTCAGATGCACACTACCATCGTTGATTTTAATAAATGGCATTCCCAGCCGCGCTAAATAAAAGCCAAACTTATTTCTAATTCAAGGAAAAAACTATTTTAATAACTATTTTGAAAATCTATTTTGTTCACCCATATTTATCCATAAATATTCATCGTTTTGGAAATAACCAGAAAATGCAATGCCACTCTTTTTCGCTTTCCAAAAAGAGCACGTGAATAATGTTGAATAATCCAATAAGATAATTTTAATTAATTTTGAAAACAAACCGGCTGCTTTTCCTCGAGATCTACGCCATCTCCACCAAACAACAGTGATAATTGCGACAAAAACAATCCACGCGAAAACGCCCGCAATAGCAATAAACCACGGTTTTCGAACAAGATACAGAATTCGATCGCTTGATGAAGCACCAGCCAGCAAAGCGATATGTTCTCGCAAAGTCGCTTCATCTGAACCAATATAATTCAATTTTCGATCACAAAACATAAATCATAAACTTTTCTTTCTTAAACCAATTTTTTTATAAAAATAAATATAAAACAAAACGATAAAATGATCGTTCATTTATCGCTCAAAAAATTGCCAATTCAAATAATAGTGGAATTTTTATGTGGTAATAATTTCCTTCTTTTTTTTCAAGACTTTTTTCACTTTCGTAGTAAAAAAGGCAATTAAAAAAGTGTTGTTTATTTATATTGAACACGAATCGCTAAAGTAATTTGCAGCAAAATTTGCTATAAAACAATTAAATTGTTGAAAATAAATAAAACTTTTTTATCTGATATTAATTCACACTAAAAGAATAAATAAAGAAAGAAAGAAAAATTTACTCATAGTAACAGCTTCAAGACCATGATAAGTACCAACACCTGCATTATTTCTTGCAGCAACTTTCACACCATATGTCATGCCTGGCACTAAATGAAATAGAGTTACACTAGCGGCACGTTCATTTGTTGTGATATTACGATTATATTTCGCTCCATTACCAAGAATTACAATCTGAAATTAAAAAATATAAAATTTTTTTTTATTTTTAACAAATATCTACCTTGCAGTCAATATTAATTTAAAAAAAACATTTTGAAATTTTCGTTCGTAGTAAATGTTCGTTGCAAAATATATTATTACGATGTAACAAGAATAAACGAATAAAACTAATTGAAAAACCTGAAATCCTTTGAGAATGCCATTAATTCCTTCAGCAGGTGGAGGACGCCAAGAAATTCTTAATGTAGTCAAATTCATCATTCGAACGCGAACGTCTGTGGGTACGGCTGTTGGTGCTATAAAATATAACAACCATAAAAAAAGTTTTTATAACAATGAATTTCAACTATTTAAGACATTCAAAATCACGTTTTTATGGACTTAGATGATGGGAAAATTGATGGCTTCTGTTTCTTTCATATATTACATTGGATCGAGAGAATTGGAACAGCCTCATCCTTTTATAGTCAACAAAGCCAGCCTAACCAGTAATAGTATGAAAAAAATCTAGAATAAAAAGTAGAAAAAATTACGAGCTTCATCCGTCGATCCTTCCAGAGAATTACTTGGCATTCCTTGAACCGACTTGTGATATGGAATAACGAAAAATTCGTAATTGGTAAATGGTTTTAATCCATTCACCAAATATGAATCGACATTTCCATCAGTAACATTAACCCAATTATTATGAAAATTATCACTATTTGAGGAAAGAATACGCCACTTTATGTAATATCCTTGCACAAGTGGTTCAACTCGTCTTCTCTGAAACAAAATTTATCAAAATTTATTGAAAAAATACAATGGTGATAAAAATAAAATGTAGAAAATTCTTTATATTTTTAATTTTTGACTCTCATAGTTTCAAAAGATATTAAAAAATGAATAGGATGAATAAATCCAAAGATAACCTTCCAAAAGAGACGAACAGCCGTTGAATTAACTTTTTTAACTTCATCAAGTTTTAATAACTGTTCAGCTGCAAGGCGTTGGCGTGCAATAAAAATACTTGCGTCTCCACTGATCACTGAAATATATGCAAATTCAATTACTCGTTATCAAGAGGTGGTTATTTCCTCATATCTGGCAAGACGTATTTATATTTACATTGGATGGATTTTTACCTTTTTGCAGTGCTTAATTGCCTTATATTGCTTTGTTTTTTAATTCACTCTTTAAAAATTGGTATTTCAGGATGATTTCCTTTCAAAAATATTTCACAAACATATTAATATTGATATTGATGAAATTAGTCAACCAATCAATCAATCACACCTTCGTCTTTAGCCGCATTGGTGCGAATAACTTCGCTAACTGGTGATGGCGGACCTATTCCATTAGAATTTTCCGCGCGGACAATAAACCTATAGGAGCTAGAGGGTTTCAAATTTTTAACTCGAAAACGAGATCCAGGAATATATTCTGGCACATTAAACCACGTCTGAAAGATGAATATGAATATTTTTAAGCACTTGAATATAAGAGTTTGAGAAAAAAAACAGAGGATGCGCACATAACGCAGATGATGTTGCAGATAGTTCTATCACAAAAAAAGTATAAAAAACTCACTTTACCCATTTCTTGACTAAAATATTGCAAAATATATCCAGTGATTATTGTGGCTCCACTTTTCTCCGGTGGAGTCCATTCCAGATAAACATTATCATCCGATACATTAACCTGAATAGGTTTTCCTGGTGCTGTAGGAAAAGTTGAAATATCAGGCATACGGTTGAATGTTACCAATGGATTTGTATGGTCTGTAAAATTAAATAAATTCCCAATAATTTGAATAATTTCTTAACGATAAGCATTTACTATTGTAAAATTGAACAGAAAAAACCTTCGAAGAAGTCTTCACCTTCAACAATTAGTGACGCGGTCCAAGTTGATTCACCATCGTCATTACGAGCTCGACACGTATATACTCCTGTATCTAATTTTCTGGAAAAAATAAAATAAATAAACATTTTTTATTCACTAAATTTTTTTTCTCTGAACAAATTTTAGCCAAATATAAGAACAAGAAACAATAATGCAAAAAAAAATTAGTGCAAAAAATAAATAAAATTTAAAAAAAATACTTGAGATTTGATATTTGAAGAGATCCAATGGCGAGTTGTTTAAACCGATTTTCATATGATGGATCATTCATATCAATCGTTTCACCGTCTTTCAACCAACTTATGATTGGTGCAATACGACCGGATGCTTGACATGGGAGAATCGCTGATGCACTTATCATTAACGTTTGATTCGAATGGCCATGTTCGATGATTGGCGGCGGATTAGGCACTGATAATGCTAAAAATAGTCAAATTGTTCAATTTGAAATATCCCAAGTCTTGAATGGTTTCAAGAGAAACTCAAAAAATTTATAACCATTGCCTAATATTTCTCAACTTTTGCTCAATTCGTACTTTTAATTTTTCGTACTTATACTATTCATAAATTCGTATTTTTTTAACCAAAAAAAAGTTTATATACTTTGATTATTGCAAAATTGTGAAGCATAAAAACAACTCAATGAAAGTGTTGTTGCTAAATTGAACACCGAAGCAAATACCATTTCCTTAATTTAAATGAATCCATACAAAATTTTTTTTCATATTTATATAATTTTCTCTCTCTCAACTGAAATTATATCAAAAATAATTGGAAGAATTCACTAACGAGAATTCACTTTAAAGGATAACAAAAACCTATCGAAATATTTCTCATTTGCGAAAATCATTTTTTTTAATATAAATTCAATTTTTTTTCTATTTCCTTAAATGACAAAAGAATTTATATATTATTGTATGAAAATTTTTTCTAAATTTTTTCTATATATTATTGGCATTTATTATTTTCGTTTAGCCAACAGCGCCTTCTCATTTCTTTTTTTTTCCAAAAATCCCATTTATCATTATTAATGAGCCATTTATTAAAATGGATGAACCAATAGCCAAAATTTAAAAAATTTTTTCACAATACCAACAAAAATACCTTAAAAGCGCCACTAAATCGTCACAAATAACAACGAAAAAATTCCAAAATATAAAAAAAATCATGATGAATTATTGAAATAAAAGTGAAGTGCCTAAGCGCATCAATCGCTAAAAAATTTGATAAAATAATGCAAGAAAGCGAGCGATTGAACCGTTTATTAGTAAACGGAGAAAAATTTTTGCAAATTGTATTTATTGCTGTTCGTGGAAAAAAGCACTTATTATTACGAGGAAATAAGAAATTCTGGAAATTTGAAAATTTTGAAACAAAACAACAGGTTTTTAATCGATCAAATATTAAGAAAAATCTTTATCTGAAAGTCTAAAAATGAAATTCTTATAACGAGAAAAAATTCTAAATAAGAGAAATTCGAGAGGATAAACAGAATAACCTTGAATGCAAAGGTGTTATTTTAGAAATATCAATTATACGAGAATTATTTAAGAAAATAAAAATGACGTAAGATGATAAGAATAATTGGTACCAATCTTAGGTCAAGAAGGTGAAATAAAAAATGCAAAAATGTTGTTGTGGTGACACTAATGACGGGTCTCAAAGGCTTTAATGGCCTATTTTCCGATAAAAAAATACAACAATCCTTAAGGGAATTTCCCTTTAAAAAAATATTAAAGGAAAGATAAAGGTAAAAAGGTAAGAAATTTCATCACAAAATAAATTGTTCATTGATAAATGGAAAAGACTGAATGGCTTAAATAACCAACCACTTTAAAACAAATGTTAATAAATCACCAAAATGCGATCATTTCCATCCATCTCGTCTCATTGTTATACTACAATAATACTAAAAAAATTTATGCCACTCTGCTCCTTCTTCGCCTCTAACCGATTCAAAGTAATTTAATCGTCGAGCAATGATAATAGAAATTTGCAATTTACGGATTAATATTACCTATTCAACTATTTATTCATGAACAATAATCTCTATTGACCTTTCCTTGAACTCTTTACACTCTAACCGATTCTTAAGAATTTTGAAATCGATTATCCAAAATATCCCATAAATTTTCTCTCATTTAAAATAAACTTATCACCTTATCATTTATCACTTAATCAGATAATCAAAAAATAAAGTGAATATAAAATTTTCGTAACGATGGTAAAAAATTATGCATATATTTCGCTTATTCCACTATTTAAGTCTCTGAAAAAAAATAAACAAATAAATTTCAGTAATCTTTTTCATAAAATACCAATAATCCCACCGAACAAAATGGTAAAATAGCACTTAATCGCCAAACCGATACGGAGAATTTCGTTCGCCTCAATCAAATCAACCAATAAAAATATGAAAAAAAAAACATTTGCAGCCAAGAAATAACTAAATATGGTGATATTATAAATTTACACTTATTTGAAATTTCGATTTTCACATTATTTCCAATTTTCTTTTTTAAAAACACAAAGGAAGATGAAAAAGAAGGAAATTCTCACAAAACGACAAACCCCAAAGTAAACAGTTTTTCTTCATTTTTTGGTTATGAATTGTTATCACAACCGGTTTAATCAGTCATCCATTATCTAATGTCAGTGAAGTCGATTCAAATGAACGAAACTTTTTCAATTAAAAAATAAAAAACGAATTATTTTTTAGTGCATAAAACGAAGAATGATAAAAAAGATAAGAGAGGTTGCAAAGAAGATGAATTCACGTGAACCTCGACACTATAAGACGAATTCATGTAGACCGCTATATTATAAGACGAATTGACGTGAACATCGACACTACACCGTGAATATCTTTTGATAATATCTCTCCCTAATCTAATTTTCTAATCCTTCAAATAATATTGCGCTAAAAACTTCAAATATCGCAGACAGATTTATTTACAACATATTCGCATTTTTTCAAACCGATGACCCATTTTATGAAAATTATTTTTTATTGTTCCTATTAAATTAATTTTCTCATTTCAGCAACTGAGCTAACAAGTGAAATGATATTCGAAATAATTCTTTTGTTATCAAGCTGGATGATCTATTGAGTTAATTAATTATTATACAACAATGATGAAGTTCAAATACGAAAGATCGTAAAACAAAATAAATTTGGGGAAATGATCGGATCGACGATCGCCTAAAAGGTCAACTTAATGACCTCTTATCAATATCTTTCGCCGATACTAAAAATAAATTTCGAATTTCCGAATTTCGCCGATACTAAAAATAAATTATAGCTGCCATTAACCATTAATAGTAACTAAAATCTGAAGAAGAAAGCAAACTGAATTAAAATTTGCAATAAAATAAAAAATGCTTTCAAGTGCTTTCATAGCACAAGCAACAAAAAATGGTTATTCTTGGTTCTTGGCGAATAGCTTTCATCACTGTATCATTTCATCGTTGCTATTGCCAATAGAACCAAATTCAAAGGCGATTTTGCATAAAAATATATCAAAATCGACGAAATTGTAAAAGCATGAAAAAAATCAATCGATTTTGCTTCGATAAACTGTTTTTTTAAAAAATTTTGCTTTTTTAAAAATAATGTTGAATTTCCGTTGTGAAGAAAAATGATTATTGATAAGATGATAATTATCACAGGAACTGTCAAAATTATTACTAATTTTCTAATGGGAACGAAGGAGATATGAATGGCGATTTCTTCACAACAAAATAATTTCTTCCAAAAATTTGTTATATCATTTGCTAAGCCTAAAGCTAAAGAATTTCCTTATCTCTAATTAATTAATGAATTATACTGGCTTTAGTAAAGATGAATAATTTAGATAAATCGTGATGCTCATAATCTAACAATCCCTTTTTCTTGTCTTTCTATCAATCAGCATTTCGGCCTTTTTTTCAACAGAATGAAGATATTCTACAAAAAGTTTATAAACAGTACTTGCGTCATTAATTTTAAGTGCAGCCTTAGCTAGACTACTTCCAGCAGCATTCATGATAGCGCAAACGTAATTGCCTCTATCTGATGGTTTCACATTTACTATTGTTAATTCACCGCTCGCATCGACTTTAATTCGACCATCTTGCGAAACGTGTCCAGGAAATAAGAGGTCCTACAAAAAATTTTTAAATTAAAATTTATATTTTATTTTAATTTCTAAAAAATTAGCTAAATTCGTTTATAAGAGACAAAATAATCCGAAGCTGCCTTGAAATTTATGCTATTACCTGTTGCCCTTCTCTCGACCAAAATATTGCTGGACTTGGTTGTCCTTCACCTTCACATTCGAATTTAGCCACTTCACCAATTTCCACACTAACATCCAAAGGCGTTTTTATAAATGAAGGTTTAGAGTGAACTCGTAAACGAGCAGATGTTTCTATACTGCCAACAGGATTTTTTGCTTGACATAAATATTCACCTTCATCACTTGGTTGAATCCTGAAGATAATTATGACTATGCAATTATGATATGATCATGGTGGAGTTCGTTTTTCAGCTTTAACTGCCTTTAAAAGAAGGAAGATATTTGAAAAAAATGTGGTAAATTTAGTAAAGCATTGGAATTTCAAAGATGAATTAAAGCAATTTAATCAGACACATTGGAATAGAATAATAATAGCAATACCTATCAATACGAAGGCCCTTATTATCAGCAGCGATATAGGCACGACCAACAGGCATTTGTTGGTTTCTTTTTTTCCATGTTATTGACGGCACTGGATCACCAGAAACACGACAATCAAACATTATTGATGAACCAACTTCCGCTGTAACATCGCGTGGTTCTTGCTGAAAAAAATAACCAAATTAGTTGCAGTGATAAATTCTTTCGAATTATCCAAATTATTCATTAATTAAATTATTCAAATAAATATGAAAATATTAAAAAAAATCATCTAAATATAACAGTAAAAATTTATGAAAAATAGTCAAAATGCATAGAAATTTGCAAAAGGAATTTAATAAAACAATTTATTAAATTAATAAAAAGAAAAATAATAAAAAACCGGAATTGATAATTAGAAAATAAATAAAATGTTACTAAAAACTATAAAATGAACAATAAATTAAATAATCAAACTCTCATTGTTTCGGAAAGAATTCAAATAATTGAATTTTATTAGTTTAAATAAATTAAAATAAATTAAATTAAACAGCGTTTCAAAATTTTATTGGAATGCTCGAATTTAAATTCAATCCAATATCCAACTACTTACTTATGCGAACAACAATCTCAGCGATAAATAATTTGCTGAGCCGCACATCAATCAATCAAAAGAAGTTTAAAAAGTTTAAAAAAATGTTTAAAATACCAGAAAATGAGGTTTCTCGTGAACTGACAATCGAGCCGGATTTGAGATTTTTTCACCAACCATATTTGTGGCAATACATTGGTAAAAACCGCTATCTGATCGTTCAACCTGAAGCAAAAAAAATGTGCAAATGATGATAAAAAGTCGGTAATAATCGGTAATATGAAAATTCGAAAATTTTTAAATCCTATATTTGCATATCATTACAGAAAAATCTTCAGCAACGATACGCTAAAAAATTAATCACTAACTTTATCTATAATGAGATTTCCACCAGGATGCAAAGTTATCCTTGGATCATCTTGAGGATTAAGCTCACGCTCATCTTTTCTCCATGAAACAACTGGATCTGGAAATCCGCGAGGAGGCGAACATTCTAGAATCGCACGATTACCAATGATAGCCTATAAATAAGAAAAAATTTAAAGGACATAATAAAGCGAAATAATTAAAAGTTGTTCATTTTTCTTCAAAAGTAAACCTGATGCACGATTAGAAATATGAAATATGACCTAAATCCATGAGTAATTTCAATTTAGTTGAAAAATGAAAATCAATTTAGTTGAATTTTCCTCAGTCTAACCTGGAGAGTCCTCGGTCTAACTCGAAAATCATCTTTCAACATCGCAATTTTCAACGTTGCTTCTCTTGAACGCGCCTCACCATATTTATTTTTGGCAACACAGTAATACACTCCCGAATCGGCATCTTTTCCACTTTTTCCTATATCGAATTTTAAAAAAATCGAAATTAATCTAAATTTTCTAAATTGAATTTTCTTTTACTCAACCAATTATAAATGCCAATATTATGCCAATTTATTAGCAATAATATTTTAAAAAAAGGGACCGTTAAACAAACCATTATTAACACGAAGAAGAAATAATGCACCAGTGCTGAGAACTAAACGATGTGAATTAATCTCTTCTTTACTTGTCGTTACTGGTTCACCATCTTTGAACCATAAAATTTGTATATCGGGTCCCTTTGCTGCACAATTTAATGTCGCTGGTTCACCCTTCGCTACAATCACATCAAGCGGATGTTCGGTTATCACTGGCAGCGATTCGTCTATAAAAATTTCCTCATTTTGAATGATTTAAGCACTAATTATCTTCGATTAGATACATTCAATTAGTGCTGAAAAATTCGAATAGATAGCAGGCAAAAAGTAAAATTTACTTGAATAATCCGTGCTGGAAACACAATACGAAATTAGCTGAATAAATAAGAAAATCCTCGCTAGTCGAATCGATTTATAACGACGAAATTTTCCAATTATTAAAAGAAGCATTATTATTGAAAAAAATACGTGAATATCCTTCTTCGCTTCAACGAAATCCTTCTAATAATTTCTCATAGCGATTAAATCTTAATTCAATAACACTTATTCTTTCCATTAACACACGAATTTCTGCAAAAAAAAAAAAAAAAATCAACTTATTAGATAAAAATTTCTAAAAATGGCAAGAAATTTCGAAAAAAAAAATATATTTCTTCTCAAAATTTGCCAAATAAAGAGAAAATTTTTTTTTTTTAAATTTGCATAAAAAGAAAAAATTGAAAAACGGTGGTATGTGCGAAATGGAAAATTAGTTAATAATGATAATAGCGAAAAGTCATATGTATTTAATCGGTAAAATAAAAAAGAAAAGAAAAGAAAACATCTGTCGGCGAATATTCGAAAAATCACCAATCACCAAATTTTGTAAAAATACGAAAAAATAAACAAATAAAATCAAAAAAGCAAATTGTAAAGTGGTTGAAACTTAATCGAATCATTTCAATTCGCTATTATATGTTATTTATTTAAATCGTTAAACTAAGTGAAAAATTATAAAAACAATCATAAATTTAATTATGTAATAATTATAACAATAATAATAATAATAGTAAAATAATAATATTAATAATACTATTATTAATAATAATAATGTTGATGACAAATGGTCAATATTGTCGATCAATAAACGAGGATATAATATTTATCCATAAAAATGAAAATTAGCCGATTTTCTATCAATTTTAGTTCTTTCTTTTATTATAAAATAGCACAAACGGCAGTAATAAATTGCGAAATTTTCACTATAAACAAAGAAATAAATTTTGCCTTAGGCGATGATAATTTTAAAGAAATTAAACAATAATAATAATAACAGTAATAAAAATTTGTTTAACGAAATGATTTCTTCATAATTACTAATCTCTATTTACGATTCGGCTCATCTATTACTATTTTCAAGGCAAATTTGGTAAATAATGCATAAACGAGAAAATTATTTAATGAAATAATTTGGAATGTTAAACTGATTAGATTATAGGTTTATGCAAAGAAATTTCAAGGAAGGAAGGAGGAAAATCTTACGAAAAAAACTGCAAAATTGCAAAAGCGTAAAGCCTCGGCATGCCTAAAATATTTCGCTGGCTTTTCCTGTAGATTTCAAAAAGAAACAATTTAGTTCTCATCGTTCTAAAATCGATGATGCAATCCTGGAATTAGTTAAATTACAACTTTGCTAAGACGTAGCAATTAATTCTCGCAACTAAGCGACCGAAGTTCTATTGTTTCCATGGTTGAGAAAGACGAAAAACTGCAAAAAAGATTAAACAGAATATTTAAATCTCTTTTCAAATGCAGCAAATAATTAATAAACCATTGAGAAAAAAATGGCTAAATTTAAAAAAACCTAATCAATCGTCCAACAATATGTGTGTTTCGAAGATGGAAAAACCAAAATGCCTTCCGCTATTTAAAAGAATGGAATGAATTCGAAAATTTTAGAAATTCCAATAGAGTCAACTAAATTTTAAAAAATGGTGCAAATTATTATTAGAAAAAGAAGAAGACAGCCTGCAAAAGATTATCTTCAAAAAGCGATAAAAGCAATAAAAATGAATAAATGAGAGAAAGAAAAAAAAAAAGGAAACGAGAAAGAATGAAAATGATTAACTAAAAAAAATTTTAATAAAAAAAAACAAATAAAATAATACGAAATATATAAAAATGAAAATCGGACAAAATCAAAGGCACTTAGTTATATTGTATCGAATCGCTGGGGAGGCAAGCAAGGAAGGCAGGCAAACGAGTACTCATTTAAATGCTTTACACATCCACCATTTTGCCATTTCCAATCATTTTCCTCTTAATCTTTAAAATCACGCAAAATAACAGCTGTTAGTTGAATAAAATTGGAAATAAATGAAATGGCGAAAAAAATTATTTTGAAGTGAATTGATGAAAATTATTGCAAAAATTGCAATGTGCAAAAAATATTTCCATAATTTTTCTTCAAATCAATACAATTCGAGCTATTTTTTCATTTTTCAATTAAATCTAATTTAAAATAAATAAAAATAAAATAATCAAAAAAACTTTCTTTATGAAAATATTTTATTATAAATAATTAAGAATAAAAAATAATTTTCTTTCATTAATTTTAATCAGCGCTAAATTCTTAAATAAGAAATTATGAAAACAATATTTAAAATATTTTTCAAATAATTAAATGCTTCTATCGAAATTGAAACCTATTGAAACCAATCATGAAATATTCTTCTTCTCAAATAAATTAATTTATGAAATTTATTTGATGAAATATAAAAATGGGAAAAGACAGAACTAACAGATGGTCGGTCACTAAGGGCAATTTATCAATGAATACTTAACAGATGACCGACACGAAAATATTATATAAACAACAACGACAAAAACAGGTAAACATTCATTGCCTTTTCCAGTTTTATGAAATACCTTCTCTAATTAAAAAATTATCATAAAATTATCACTATAAATAAAGTGATAAAAAAATGAAAGATTTTAATTTAAATAATATTTAAAATATTATTATTATTTTTAAAATATTTAAAATGAAATTATTCTTAAAATAAAAATTGTTTCGAGAAAAAATTATGAAATATTCAGAAAAGAAAAAAACGAAAAAACAATTCCTTTTTTTTGGATATTCGGATATTTAGTTTTAAAATTTCTCTCGTTTAAAATTCTAAATTTAGGTGAAATTTTGGAAGCGAATGAGATTGATGAATATTTTATAAACTGCTGATAATATATATCTCTGAAGAAAACTGACTGACTAACTCGAATGACTTACTGCATGCATTCGTTGCCGTCCGTTGTTAATAAGCCATAAATCGATTTCGTTTCGTCTCCACTTTCCCTTTTAATTCTTCTTCATTCATCTATCTACACATAACGACGACGAACCACGAACCACGAACCACGAACCACCATATCACCGATCGACCACAAATAACGAATATGATAAATTTAAAATTTTGAAATCTATAAATTAATTTCTTCTTTTAGATTATAAATTTAAAAGAAGGATTAGCGCAGTTATAACGAATATAAAATAATCGCAATTTAATCATTTTTAATTCGAATAAGAATTATTTAGCTAATTTTCTCATAAATTTTCTTATTCATTCATGTAATTGTTTATTTGTGCTAAAAAAATCTTTTTTTTAAAAATCCATTTTTTTTAGCAGTTGGTAAATAAATAAATAATAATAATAAATAAATAATAAATAAATAAATAAAAATAATAATGAAAAATAATTTTGAATTACAAAAATTTATAAAAATTTTTTAAATTTTAAATTCAAATTTTAAATTTAATTTTTTAAAAAAATTAACAATTGATAATAAATGAAAAATTAATAAATATTTTTTATAAATATTATTTTATACTAATTTTTCATAAAGTAAAAAAGAGAAATAAAAAGAAATTAAAAACTATCATCGCCAATTAAAAATAGAAATTTAGAAAATTTTTAGATAATCGAAATCTTCTGAATCTTTGTTAATCTTCGATGCTCTAAAATTGATTCGCCTTATTTTTGTTTAGAATATAAAATCGATTACTTTAGATTACTAAATAATCGAATTAAAATTATTCAAAAATAAAAAATGAATAGAAGAAATAAATTATAAAAACTTGTTAAAGAATTCGTGAAACAAATGAATTCGTATAAAATTTAGCAAAAAAAAAAAAATCATCAACACTCAATTGAATTTTATTGCTGCAACAACTGACAAAATAATTGGCAATTTTTGCTTTAACAACCATAAAACTAAGCCTTTAAAAATTTATTTCATCTAACAGTTATTTAAATTTTATTTAAATTTTCTGTTAATTACAACTCGAAAAGCTGATAAAATATTGATTTTAATTTGTTCTATAGCATATACTATCACTATTGAGGATAGAATGGCTCAGTGGGTTGTTGCTCAATTCGAAACGCCGATGCTGAGGTTCAACTATTCCTCACAGTAATAAACTTGTCCAGAAATCCGGGTGATGTTGGCGACTCAATTGTACTTCTATCGCCAACGGATCTCTCAGGCACATCTATCGAGTGTGACAAGCAAGCGGAACAAGTTTAATGGTGAGGATTCTTAAAAAATATATTATTCTGAAGTATATATATATATATATATGTATATATATATGTATACATTTTTAAGAGTTCTCACCATTACTGGTCCTATAAATTTGCTCCTCTCGCTGGTCAGATCAGACAAATTTTTTCCGGCGAGTCATTTGGCGAGAAAAGTATAGGTATGTCGCCAGCACCGCCCGGACTTTTGCGCAGGTTTATTCCTGCGGGGAATAGAAATTCAGCAGCGGTGTTCCGAATTGAGCAACAACCCACTGAGCCATTCGATCCCTATAAATCTCAATAAATATTACTGATTAGATATGAATTTGTATTAAAAATTTATATTAATAATTAGTAGTGATATTTATAAAACCAAAAATTCATCGAATTTCCTCACAAAGGACAAAAAAAATACAGAAACAATACAAAAAAATACAAAAAACAAAAAAAAAACAAAAGGAAACAACTGCAATATAAGTAATATCGGCTTCGGCCGAGTATATTTTTAAAACCAGTTTTTTAAATAATTTTAAAAGGAGTGAAAAAGTGAGCGACTCGGACATAATCTATGGATTAGTAATTTGGCATGGTCAATAATTTGGCACTTTATGTAATTATAATAATTACTAGAAATGAAAATTTGTCTTTATTTCCATTCATTATACTTCG